CACAGACTGGGTCAAACCGCGAGCTGCGCGAACGAGGTCAGTCGCAGCCAACGGAGCCGCTACGCGTTCGTTCGCTTGCTCGCCAGCCGCCAGCCGCCAGCCGGGTCACTGCCAATTAACCAGTTGCTCGCGGCCCACTCGCCGACAACAACTCACGCATCACTTCCGACGATTCCATGCCATTCTACTTCTTGTCCTTTCCTTTCCACTCCCGTTCCACCTTCGGCTGCACTGTCGAGTGTCGACTATTCGATCGTGCCAATCGTCTCTGTCTCGTCTTCCCTTCCAAACTGCTTTTACTTGCAAACTGCGCTGCCTTTCTCAGCAACAAATTAACGAATTGTCAACTAGTGAACTTTGCCACACCAATCGCGCTCCATCGCATTATTACAGTAACCACTCTGGCGCAAGTTCCCCGGTCCCACGCACCTGTGGCCTCTGCCGAGCATACGTCGACACACCAATTTACTGTACCGTCATGTTTGCATTTTCAAATCCAATTATGTATGTTGTGCCAAACATACGTGGATCTTCCATTTTCCTCGAAATCGTGCCACTTGTTACGTCAATCAAAACGCACTTAACAGTGTATAATACTTCGTTCTTTTATTAACATTATATTCGAATTTCGAATTTCTATCACACTACATACACAGGACAAACATCTGCTCTCAAGCTGTCACACAAGACAAGGCTTGAATAGGGCATAATGAACTTTTTGACCGCATGTTACTCACACGTGGTTCGAAAATGAAGTCAGTAGTCATTCTAAATCATTTACATTTGAGTATAAATGTGGGCATGAAAAATATGAATTGACATGGTGTCGAATCGATCAAAAAGCCGATTTAATAATATATCGATTTTGTTTACGACCTTAAAAATAGCATTAGTTGATTGTTGGTTGCATCGCAACGAGATGTTAACGTGACAAATACATACAGTTCATTTGTCTTTAAGCTTTTGGCTCGAATGAACGTGCAAATATAATTTATTTATAAACAAAGATTGATAGCTTCTGAAGCTTCTTTTTGAATAAAGATTAAATAACGATGTAATATGGATTTTAATTTCAGCTTAGTTTAAGAAAAGGTTTCCACTTGTCGTAAGCTTTCATGGGGCAATTGTCATATACGTTGTTTTAGCGTGGCCGGAATCGAATGTACAGTAGGACTTGCTTGTTATTATTTGCCGAGTGTCTTTTATACAAGGTGGGGATAAAAGACGGAAACGTCTGAAGTTTTTTCACGGAAAGTCAAGTTTTACAAACTCCAATAATGTTTCTTTTTTAATTTTCTGCGTTCTTTCAAATAGAGTACTCAGTTTTTGGACCTACTGCCAATTACGGTTCCAAATAAGACCCAATTTGAAAAATTCTAATAGAAACCTCTACTTTTCATTGCAGATGGAAAATTTTGCATTTGGATATGTTGTTATGTAATATTGAAACAATTCATTTTACAAACCTGAAATATATTTACTATTGAAAACTTATTGTGGTGTTAAGCATGTTCATGGAAAAATCGAGTATTTTTTTTACTAAATTAACTAAAATCTTTTATAAATTTATCTAAAAAAAATTACTTAATACAGATAATAGAACGTTAGTTCATTATAAATTGTATTTACTGACCCTGTAAAGTGTCATATTTAGGAAAATTTATTGAGCTTTATTGGAAAATGCAAATTAATAGATTTTTTCGTATATTTTTATTTATAATAGAAACATGAAATGTAAAATTAATAATTTAGCTTTATACCGCAATAGTGAATGCAATTATGAAAAACATGCGATCTTAAGATTCGCTCGTATTTCATTATTTTGTCCACAGTTTAAAGAATTTGCTTTTTAAGAAAACGATGGTGAAGGTGCTTTTTCATATCTAACTTTTTAAGTTTATGGTTAAAGTTGCTATAAAATTAAGAGTATTACTGATTCATTTTTAAACTTTCTTTTTTATTTTCTCGAAAAATGTGTAAACGCCTATAAGAATTTTGTTATGTAAAATCCTATAAAACATATATTTCTAACCCCTTTTTTAAATTTTTCATCAAATTAATTTCTTTTTTTTTAGAGTTATAAGAAAAATGATTGAGATTATTTTAGTTTCATAATTTCGAATAATGTTACGAATCACAGAAACAGAACACATATCTATTTTAATGATGTGAGGTTGAGCTGATCGACTAAGGTCTATATGATATGAGAAATCTTTCCTATAAACTCCCGAAATGAGGGTGTACCTATTTCAGAAAGTTCAGTTTGTAAGATTGTGTCACGAGTCGTACAAAAGACCGTATACTATTCTCGGTAAACCATCATCAGCGACAAATGAAGACAAGACATTAAATTTAGTATTAGAGTTGAACAAATTTCATCCCTACAAAGTTAATCCTTGTTTGGAATTTTGCGAGTCCATAATGGAAAGAATATATAATAATCCTTTATTTTTAAGTAACAATTTTTTCAAACGAGGCAGCATTTCAGTTACATGGAAATATCAACAGATACAATTGAAAATTTTGTCTGAAAATAATCCTCATTAGATGACAGAAAATCATACACATTATTCATAGAAGCTAAAAATTTAGGTAGGTAGTATTGATAACATCTTGATTGGTTCTTTTTTCATAGAAGGAAACTTAATACCAGAAAAATGTAAAATAATGTTAAGAACACAAATAGCTCCAACGATACAAGAAATAAAAAGAGATTATTTCATAGATACCTATACTTAGAGTAAGGTGGTGCTGCACCGCGCATTATGACCGTAATCTTCGACATTTTCTTGATACCAATTTTCCCGACAGATGGATAGGTCAAAGAGGAACGATTGAATGACCTCTAAAATCTGATTTGACATCGTTAAACTATTTATTGTGGTGGTATTTAAAAGGTCGCGTATATAATACAAATCTTCAAAATCTCGTTGAATTAATAAACCAAATTCTTCACGAAGCTAATATTATTCAACTAGATCTTGTTCGAAATGTTATACAATCGTTTTAAAATAGAATAGGATATTGTCAGGAAATTGTTGGAGGACACTTTCAACAACTGTTATGAATAATCATTATTTAAAAACATGTAAGAAAACACCCAAAAATGTGCGAGGCAAGAGGACTCACATTAATAATCGGAAATATCCCTCTGCGTCCATGTTGTTCTTCGGTAGTGCTAGAGGAAGGATATCTAATATCTTGGATCAAAAAACAAGTTACGTTAATATAATTAGAAGAATGATATTATTTGGTTTCAACATACTCAATTAAATTTCATCAATTAGAAATCATCAGTATAAACTGACAGTTTCCTGAACACAAGTTGGATCAGACTTGTTCAAAAGACCAAAAATTGAGTACACCATTCGAAAGAACGAAAAAAATTACAAAAGAAACATTATTGAGCTTTATAAAACTCTACTTTCCACAAAAATTCTTAGGGTTTTCCATCTTTTCTTATCAATCCTGTATATTGTTATATTTACTTGATTATTTACATATACCATGAGTACTTTTTGCGTTCTAGAAGAGAGATCGTAAATAATTAAGTAAAGATATTGAAATAAACTTTTTTGTCTTTTTAATAAAGAATTTTTACAACTAAACACTCGATAGAGCTGTTGATTGAGTACCTCTGTTACGAATGATAAAAATCACCCTTCCGCCTACGCAGTTTTAAAATTAAGTACTTTCAAGTTCAATTCAAATAAACACATGTTTGGAAGCTTTGTGAAATAAGTTAAGCTAATTTACTAAAAATAATTTGTAACATTTCATTGAGCAAAGCATTCGACTTAAGCTTCAAAACCAAAGTAACTTTTGAGGACAGCCGCCCTTGACAAATGAAAAAGAGGTTGCGCGTCTAGCTGTTCTCCTACAAAAAACAATTTCTCATCAATAAAATATGATATGAAATCTAGTTAGAGCCATATTAGTACGATCTTAAAAATTATTTCGTATCATATTTTATCGATGAAAAATTGCTTGTCATGGGAGAACACTTAAACAAATAAAAAACAATGATAATAAAGAGCGAAAAATGTACACTCGCAAGCTTCTAATAGCAAAGGAAAACATTATATTGTCTTTAGCATATAAGAATGGAGATTTGAAAAAAATAATGTAAGTAGCGAGTAAGTTGATCAGCCGACAACTATTGCTCGACAACTTACTTCAAACTTCTATAATCAATTCAAAGTAAATTCAATATTACAATGTATATCAATCTTGAATATAGACCTCTTCTCGTATCTACTTTAAGTGATATTAGAACGATCTTCAAAATTATTTTGTATCATATTTTTTTCATTTTCGATTTTATTTCACTGAACAAACAGCTAGAAACAAGAAAAAATAAATATCATCGCTTTTCAATTATCGAAATATATTAAGCAAATGATCAAAATGAATATAATTGTCTCTGTGTATTCACTTATGTAGATGCGTACCTTACGTCGTTTAGCCTTCCCGAAAACTATTTTACGAGATAACGTCCTGAAATTTGTATACGGATCCCGCACGGACTTCTACTCATGAATCTTATTATTACGCAAGTACATTTAGAATCTCCACGCTTGATGATTTTTATTCTGAGATCCTTAATGGATTCCCGTAAAAGTTAATAAAGTAAAATGATTGGGGACTCATAAAGTTTTTCATGGAAATGAACTCAATAAAGTTTTGAGCAGTCTCAGATCGAATGAACGAGATCTTTGATTAGAGAATAAAACTTAATATGTTTTCCAATGTGCTGGAAAAAAAATTTAAATATGTTTGAAAAAATTATAATAAAAATCACAATATAATTCGAAGAAACGTGAGAGTAAGAGTAAAAGAAAAATATGCTTTACGTTTCTACTGTGAATACGGATTTTTTATACGTAAACTTCAAAATTTTGCTTCCAAAACATTGTTCATCGTTTAATTATGAAAAATATAAGTAAAAAAATATAAATAATTATTTTTTACAACTACAACGTAATCTATTAAAAAGATTGTACAGTCAATTTTACAATCATATTTTACATTATCACAATATTAATGAACATCTAGAAAGCTGGCATTGAAATACATATACTCGATAGCATAAGATTCAAAAAGGTAATAAATAATTCGTGAGTTCAATGAATTTTTTATAACTGGATAACTAAAATTTTATGATGTGTATTATAATAAAACTTAAAACTGCGATATTTATATAAAATCACTACAGTAGTGATCATCGTAAGAATAAAATTTAACTTAAAGTTTTACAGTTTTTAAAAACTCAATTACGAAGTTTAGTTGGTCAAAATAAATAAAACTGATTATATATAAAGATAGGCAAGATTACTTATGGACTTTCGGAAATAAAATGGTGTATTCGATACTAGTGCGACAAAAAGAATCGAACCTCACGTGAGGCTATCCAAAGGTAAAATCACTTTCTTTTACATATGCATCTAACTTGATTTGTCGATACAACGTGTACAAAATAAGATTTAAAGCACGTTTCTTTTCTCGAACGTGCGTAAATCGAGTCCTTACACATTGAGTTTCGAAATGATTCCACCTCCGTAATAACATTCACATGTGACTAAATTCATTTTCTTGCATTAGTATCCAAATGTACTAGTTGAGCATACAATATGTTGCTATTACTTATATCGATTGTGAGACAAACTCCAAAAGCGGCACTAATTCAAATAAAGTCTTAAAAACATCGATTTTTAAGTTATTAAAATCCTAATTAGTTGATTTCACTTCCACAATCATTCATTTTTAAAGGTTTAATTCCGTATAGTTCGTTATAAGCATTAACAAGGTATTGCCTGTAATGCGTACTTAATAGAGCAGCTGAATACTTTGTGTAATGTTTATAGATCAATGTCAATCTGTGTAAAATACCGTTTAATGTTTCTTGATCGTAAGACCATTGATCAACAGGTTGAATAAATAAAGAATCTTCTCGTCCACCACAGTATTTTTCTGTGAACTCGTTCATTAATCGAACTATGAGCAATGCCTTATCATCCTAGAATTTAAACATCACAGTTTCAATGTATATTTTGTAAAATAAAAGACTATCTTTTAATATGAAACATTATTGATAAAAAAAATGAGATAATTAATTAGTATTGAAATTCTTTTGTCTAAAACAATAAAAGAGCTTAAATAATGAAATATTATATTATATGATAAACAAATAATTAACAATTTAATTTTACTTATGAAAAACAAAAAGGCGTAAATAAATAAAAAAGTAATCTTAATAAACTTGGAAAATGTGTTCAATTATAAGCATACTAATAAATCAGAATGAAATTAAGTTTATTGAATTGATGATTCAGAAACTTAATTAAATAATTATAAAACATAGCTTGACAAATTATTTCTTATAAACATTTTTTTATGTAATTGTATTTTCAAATAATCTCTAACAATAATTTATTTATTTATTGTTAATTTATAACGAATTCAAATGTAACTATCCCATTCTTATTGAGGTAACAAACATGAAAAAAATGTTAAACATAGCATTAAAAAAAATTTCTTCTTACCTCAATAACTAGAGGTATTGTAGGCCAATCTTCAAGACAAGGTTGACAATCGCATTGAAATTGAAAATGTGTTTGCAGTAATTGTTGCCTTGATTTTTTCTCCATGGTTAATATTGGACCATATGTTTGACATAACTTAAAAATCGAAATCATATATATTTTTATTTAAAAAATACCAATATGCTAGATAAATTGTCTGAAGTAATTTATTACAAAAAATAAACATTTAAAAATTTTGATTATAATTTATATCATTATATAAGTTTTAAAATGACAATTTTTTACGTTAATTTAAAAATAATCATGATTAAAATACCTGCTCTCCTTTTTTCACAGGACGAGTGACAAACACAATCATTTTTTTTTTAGCAACAAATGTTCTGTTGACATTAGGATAACAACTATGATTAAATAGACTACAGCAAGGAGTAAGAACAACTCCTCTATTTTTGATGCAGTATTCAGAGCAGTATTCATAATCAATACAGTTACAATTAAAATCTTGAAACTAAAAAGATAGAATAAAATTTAAAAAATAATTAGTTAAAAATTCACTACTTTAAAATTCTATAACATACATTGTAAACATTACAATCTATTATACATTTGAGTTTGCTTAGTAACTTTTTAAAAGCTACAACTTTCAAAGCCATTTTCTGATCTACATATTTTTCTATTTTTGGAAATAACTTTGTGTATCTGGACAATAAAGTAAATATCATCATAGAAAAAATATCATTCTTCATAGCACAATCACTTTGCAGATTATAAGATGTCTGAAATTTGTTACTGTAAATTATGCCATTAGAGAAAAATCCTTTCAAATGCATATCTGGAGATTAAAAAAAAATCAGCATATTAGTTTTAATTTTGTATGTTTGTTAATTACCTTTTTCATTATCAATAATTGCAGCTTGGTTCATGACATTATCTAAGCCTTCTTTTTTTATTGCTGTAATCAGTAATCTTAAGGCTGCTAATGCATTCGGTACCTCTAATTCACTCAAAATATCTTTACAGTGAAGAAATGGAAGCAAAGAACATTCTAAATCATGGTACTTATCCCAAGCTTCTATTTTGCATGTTTGTGTACAATAAAAAGTAAAAGGACAGGAATCACATGGAATTCCATTCCATGCATATTCCAAGCAATGAGAACAAACAGTATACATTTTATTTATCTTTGGTAAAGCAATATAAGCTTCTTCAACAGCAATGATTTCACCAGGTTCTATATCTCGATTTGCTACAACATGTCTACCATATTTTTTAGAATATTTTAACACAATACCATCAATAAAACTAGGAATTTTTTTAGATGATATAATTTTTGGAATTTCTGTCTTGTCATAAATTTCTAAATATGAAAGCTGATCTAAGTCTCCTATTATAATTTTTTCTAATTCAATTAATAAATTTTGAGTATCACTGAGTTTACTATGGTTTTTTAAGCTTTTAGATATCACATCTATGCTCTTCCTGTTTTTTTCGTAAGAACCATTTAAAAATGCATAACATTTTATTTTTCGAACAAGAAGTTTTTCTTTTAAATTACTGGGTACAGAATTTTCAAGAGCTCTATTGATGTCAATTAAGCATCTCTTGTACTCTTGTAAGTGCATCCATAATGCTGATCTATTACTATAAGCCAATGCTATCTGATCTGAGTTGGGTGGAGCAAAAGCAATACTCTTGGAATATAATATTAATATTGCTATATGATCTTCCAAATTATGATTTTTGTTAGTGTAAATATGGTTGCCTTCTGAACGAAATGTTGTTGATACTTTAGCACATTTTTTTACAATAGGTTCACCATAATCTAGTTCCAATTTTTCAAAAGCCTCATTCCACTTCAAGATTTCATTGATTTGATTCAAAACTTTTATATCCATTGTGATTTTTAATAATTATCCTAAAATTCAATTACGTAAGTATCAGTATTTTAAATGATTTTTTTATTCTCAACTTATAAGGTCTACTCAAAAAAAGTTTTTGATATATTAAATATATTATTTAAAAGTGATCACGATTATAATTCCATATAAGTGGTACAGAATAAATGTAGTTCATTTTTCAGAACATAATCGGCATATCAACAAATAAATATTTTCCCGATCTATTATATTTAGTATTATATTTAGTAGATGCGTGACAACTTACCTTTTTTTATTTGTATCAGATACTTTAGTTCATTACAACAATTTTCGATTAGTTTCGATATTTTCTGATAAATGCATTTGAAATTGAAGTCCCAAAAGTCGATTCATGAAAGTAACCTTGCCATGCAGTTTTTATTCTATAGCACAGTCCTAGCACGTCAAAGAGGGTGAGTTTTGTATTAGTTCGCTTAACAAAGACTAACGGTATAGTGTCTGCTTTCTTCTTGGAATCTTGCAAAATATAAACAATCTCGAGAGACGATCGTCATGGCGAAATGGTAAACAATGTACATTATATGTACTTTAAAAGTACTTCTTCGATTTTCTTCGTCTAATCCGATTGTGATCTTTCAATCTAATTGGTAAATTGTAAGTACCTATACCCTGTATAATAATTTAATAATATATAATTTAATTTATATTTGCAAAATATTTTCACGTATAGATTATTCTTAATTTTTTTGTTAATATGATATATAATTTAAAATAAACACATATTGTTCTGAAGTTAAAGTATTTTGATTATTAATTTTTATTTTATAATCTCCAACAATATTGTTACTTTTTAAATTTGAGAAAATCAAATAAATACAACACAATATATTAACTATAAAAAAAAAATTATTAGAAATACTAAATAAAAAATTCTAATTATGTATTTTGTTATAAATAGAAGTGTTTAGCTTAATCATTTATTTTATATATAACATTAATAATTATTTAATTTAAGCTCAAACCAGCAATTAAAGATATGTATTATTCTTAATTTAATTGGTGATTACAAAGAAGAATCTAAAATTTTCCAAAGTAAAAACCTTCATAGTGCTAGAGTGTTCATTATATAATATTCAAAGAAGTATATATAACAGTAAAAATATTTAGTTGCATCAAAAAAGAATCCTATGAAATCTATTAAAACTAAATTCTTTATACTAAATTGCTTGAAAAAATAAAACAATTGTAAAACTTATAAATAAATCTGAAAGTTATATTTGTTAAGCATTGCATGTGCTACTATGAAATAATTAGAATAATTAGCATTGGCTTGTATAAATAGAGATCATATATATTATTGCAAGTTTATTAAAAGGTATAAAAATTACATTAAAAACATTGATAAGGCACTATAGTTATAACCAAATCTGATCTTGTAAGAACAAAGTTATTATGTAGTCTTGTTTTGATTTAATGAACTGTAATAGGATAAAAAAAAAGAAAAACACTGCTTAAATATAATAAATTAATGATTCATTAAAAGGTAGAAAACTTGAAAATTATTAAAGAAGCAAAAAAAGGTGTAAAAAATTGTTGAACTACACAAATTAAAATTCTGATTCAACCTATGAAATATTATAGATTGTTGTCATCATACCAGTTGTCACAAATATTTATATCAATAAATTTTATGCATATGTATACTGTAACCATTGTCTTTCATAAATATTGCCTGGCATTCTTTTTAACGTATACTATATGTATGTACAATGTACGTACTGGTCTGACAGGTGTAATATAAATTTAAGTTTGCAAAAAGTATTATAAAGTAGAATATGTAATTCTTCTATAAATAAACTTCGCAGATTACACATTTCAATGCTTCCATATGTGTAAGTGTAGTTATTATGAGTAGAATTAATAATATTTCTCAGCTAAGGAAAAAAACTCAAAAAATTAATTGCATCTAGAAGAGGTGAGTATATCACATTATTAATATATCATATATATTATTAATATATCATATATATATATTAGTATATCATATAGACATGAATAAATTCTTCGATAAATACAAAAATATTGTACAAAAATATTCTGTTGATTCGAAGATATAAATACAAGAATAATTTAAAATAACACAACATTTAACAGTGATTTTTAAGTTTTATATTTTTTTGTCTTATATAATTTAATTATTTAAAGATTCCAATTTCTTTTATAACTTTCAAAGCATAGTTGTTTTTTGATGGTATAATATATGATCTAAAATTGTTAAGTCATCGAAGGTAAAAGAATTAGTTAAGTATGGTATTTTTTATTCCACTATACAGTAATGATAAAATTAGTAATGTCATCTCATTTTTATGGAGACATTGTTTATAATTATTGTATTTCTTTAATAATTGTCAAATTAATAACTCATTATTAAATCATGACTAAAAATCATTTTGCTGGTAAATACTAAAATTTAAAAATGTAAATTCACTTATAGGTATTCTAATGTAGATAAATTTATAAATAACTGTTGCTGCTTAAGAAGAGTATATATTGATTTATATGTAAAAAACTTTAAACATAATTGCAATAAAAATTCTATTTGCTACACATATGATTTTGAGAAAATAATTTATTATTGTACCAGAACAATTTCAGCAAAAGATGAAATATGTAATTCAGACAATAAAGACAAAGCTTTATTTGAATAATTTTATACATTTAACAATCAGTTGTGTATGTTAGTATAAAATTATTTGAAGACTATTTTATATGTGACACAAAATAAATTGATTTTTGCAATATTTTTATTATATATTCAAACTTTAGATCGTAATTAGTTAATTTAAAGAGTTTTGGAGAAACGAGGAGAAAAGATATAACGGCAGAAATTAGATACACTTGCAATTTTCTAGCTTGTCTTGAAAATTGATTAATTACGGACGAAATTTATAAAATATATCACGCAAGATTTATAAAGATAGTTTAATAATATATACATTTGAATAATTGTTAATTGTGCCCGATTTTTTTTTTTTCAAGTCATTATTGAAAAAACTTATGTATTAGAATAAATTATTTCTTTCAAATATATTTGCGCTTACTTTACAATAGCTTTTCAATATCTGATCAATATAGAAAATTAGTCATAGCTTTTTTTCAGCATTGTTCACTGATAAATATTGATAAATGTTATAAAAAGTATGAACTAAAAGCAAATTCTCTTAGAAATGAGTGTTCAATAAAGTAAAAGAGTTATGAAAGTTTGTAAAAAATACCAACGATGTACTTGAACTTTATGGTAAGCCATCATTGTTATTATCGATGATGTGGTCTTTCCTCATCATAACATATTTGAACGATCAAATAGAATTTATCTTTCGTTTTAATGTCTGCAGAATGTTAAATTGAAATAACAACTAATTTTTACGCTAATATTTAGATAACGTTTTATTTCATTAAGTATGTTTTTGAACAAGTTTTAATTCGCTTGAAACAATTTTATTATTTACATAAATAAATAATAATATTAATATAAATAATAATAATAATAAATGTCTAATATTTGAACTTTCAAAAAACTATTCTTTGAATAATGTTATAAAATGTAGGAAAATATAGATTTTTGTAATTTAAATGAATATATTTCAATGAAAGTCGCCATTTTCATGGGCACATCAATAAAAATCATTTCTTTAAATCTTTCATTATTTTTTACTTTTTGTATCTTTTGCACCATTGGTAACAAAAATTTTTTATTTATATTTGTACATAAAGAAGTAATGAAAAAAGTAACTGTTCATAAATATCTTTCTACGTATGCAAACCATGATGCTGCTCGTATAAAAAATTATCATACTATGACTTTTCTGTAAAAATACGATTAATGAATAAATGCGTATTGTTATAAAGTTTTTATTGACAATGTTCAACTTATGAATAATAAATCAGATACGTATGTACATATATCTTAAATAATGGTTCAAGTATGTATTGCTATGATAAACGAGTAAAACAGCAATAACAATATAAAAGTTGATAACATGATCTGTAGATAGACAGGTAGGTGAAAGATATTTTGGTTTTGGATTAATGATGGAACAGCCTAACGCCAGTATGGGCTAAGACAATGCCGTGCTCGTTGCAAGCTTCAATAACAGCTGCATCGTTAGTTGAGCCGGCAGGTGCACCAATGAAGCGTACGCCACTCTAAAAAGTAAAGTCACCTTGTAACAACAAAGTCTAATATTATTTATCTTGCATGAAAAGCAAAACTTACGAGTCTTGCCCTGTCGACATTGTCGCGGAATGGGAAGAATGCGTCGCTGCTGATGGCGACGTTGTCGAGCTGCTTAGCCCAATCGTCTTTGTCTACCTGGGTGAGCTTTTCGGGCACAACTTCATACATGGCTGCCCAAGCACTTTCCTCCATATCGCGACCGATAGTACCGTTTACATAGTTATCGATCGCATTCGAGATCTCTGCGCGTTTTACACCTTTCTTGAATTTCATGCCCGTCACCTTGGGGTGTTGACGCAACCACCTTAATAAAAAGAAAAGCATTGAATTAAACTTGAATTATTTTCTGAAAGTTATTCGCCTAAACCGCACATTCAACTTTGCTTAGTGGCATTATTCAAAGTGTATTTTAAGAACATTGAATAATGATTAAAGGAAAAAGGTAAAATACGCTTACCAGTTGTCAGCCTTGTCGCCGGCGAGCCTGGTACAATGTATCCTCGATTGCTGCCCGGCTCCTATACCGATCACCTGACCGTCCTTGGCGTAGCACACCGAGTTACTCTGCGTGTACTTGACAGCGATGGTAGCGACGATAAGATCTCGGATACCCTCTTCCGAAAGATTATTGTGTTTGGTAACGATATTGGCAAAGGTCGAGCGATCAATTTTGGCATCGTTGCGTCGCTGCTCCATCGTCAAACCAAACAGAGTCTTGCGCTCCATTGGAGTTGGCTCGTAGTTGGGGTCGATCTGCAATACGCAGTAACCGCCGTTCTTCTTTTTGCGCAAAATTGTTAGTGCTTCCTCGGTGTAGCCAGGAGCGATTATACCATCCGACACCTCCCTAAGACGAAACATCATTCTGAGTGAAGAACAGCTCTACTTTCGAATCGACAATTACAGACTTTTTAATTGAACATGTACATACAATAAACTCAGGCGACGTTGCCAAGCTTACCTAGAGATGATTCTTGCTGTGGGAACATCACAGGGGTCGGACAGAGCAACGAAGTCGCCAAAGCTCGACATTCTATCGGCTCCACGAGCTCTCGCGTAAGCCGTAGCCAGTGGCGTCAGCTGATCAGCCAAGTCATCCACCTGCAATACACCGAGTCGCACCCATGTGAATTTACTTGAAAATAGCAAGGTGAATGGCGATCTGAGGCAAGAGGACAGACCTGGCAGAGCTTGAGAGAAACGGCATCGAGAGGAACACCCACAGCGGCGCCAGCTGGACTGACGTGCTTAAAAGAAGTGGCGGCCGGCAAGCCAAGAGCGGCTTTGAGCTCCTTGACGAGCTGGTAGCCGTTGAGCGCGTCACAGAGATTAATGAAACCCGGCGCGCCATTCACTACCGTCAGCGGCAGCTTATCAAGGCTAGTGAAGATTTGTGCGGGCTTTTGATGCGGGTTCATGCCATAACGAAGACTTAATTGCGACACGTTCTGGCTGTACTGCCTACGGAAGTAGTCCGAGATCGCATCGTCGTACTGAGCTGTGTGAGTGAAGGCCTTCACTGCCAAGGTTTGCCTATAGAGAGACAGTTCATCGGTTACGATAATTCAACATTGTCAAGGCTAAGAAGCACTGATTAATGACGTATGCGAATACATGAAACGATCGTAAACGCGATACCTCTTACCTTGTTTGTAAAGAAGTATCTTTGTCGGCGGAATTTTGTAATTCCGAGACGACCTTTTCATAATCATTGGGGTCACAGATAACCGTGACTCTTGCGTGATTCTTAGCGGCTGCTCTTAGCAGAGTCACGCCTCCGATGTCAATGTTCTCGACAGCATCCTCGATGGTAACACCGGGCTTCGAGACCGTATTGACGAACGGATACAAGTTGCAAACGACCACGTGAATGTACTCAAACTTGTGTTTAACCAGGTCTGCCTTATCGGAGCTTGTCGATCTTGCCAATATGCCTGTTTTCAACAGAAAAGCGCCGCAAAGATCACGCAATTTTATTGGACATCAGACTTTCAGACAGCGTAATGCTTTACCTCCATGCACTGCAGGATGCAGAGTTTTAACTCTACCGCTAAGCATTTCGGGTGCTCCCGTAATGTCGGACACATCCTTCACGGGCAAGCCAGCGTCTCTTAGAGATTTGGCAGTGCCTCCCGAGGCAACTAAAGTCAGTCCGAATTCGTGTAGTTTTTTAGCAAAAGGAAGGAGGTTGGTTTTGTCTGAGACACTCAGTAATGCTGAAAATACCAAAAAAAACAATAAGCAATGTCATTTTACTACTGCAATACTTATTTTTATTTCTACTTTTCTGTTGGTTTCAATTAAGAAAATTATCCTATATAATTCAAATATAAATTCGTAAAGCTAATACAATGAACTTATAGTACGAACTGCTATTAAAGATAGCCGCGTCTACTTTTAAAGAGAACGAGCTGAAAAATTTTCGCGCCACTTGTTGAAAAAATATATTTTAAGGCATTACTGACAAGTACCTATTGTCATTTTTGTTCTTAAATTCTTCAATTTAAACATTTTTTAATCCAGTCAAATCTTTTTATGAATTGCAAGCTGGAAAATTTTTTCTCAGAGTCCCTAGAAATTATCGCATTATGTTAAATGATATCATTTCTAGGGGCACTGAAAAACAATTTTTTTCAGCGGCAGCTATGACTCCAAGTTCTATTATAATGAAAGAAAAGACGTTCTTAGCTACTTGCAGGCAAGGAGAGAGGAATAAATCCTCAACTCCAATTTTTTTTTATAGAAAAATCAATTTTTTCATTATGATCATGTTGAAAAATTTGTACCTCGCAATAAAAGTTACTGTCGCGATTTTTCGGTTCATGGTGATTGAAGCTCGGAAAATTAATTTCAGATCAAAGTTCTGGATAACGTCTTCGATGTTTTACGATTTTGTAAGCCGAATGAAAATACTCATTGAATAAAAAATGTTGGCAAAGGTATTTTCCCTACACCATTTCTATTATACTAAGATACCTTGAAAAACTAGTTTTGCATCTTTTATATAATACGTACACACTATTACCTACTAACGAAGATAGACTATCGTCGTTGCTATTACTATATCTACATGTTGACTTTAATTATACGTCGAACCCGTAATATCTCAGTAAAATTTAAAAATAATACAAAATTTTAGACTTCGCACATATTACAAAAAATATAAATAAAAAATTGTCTTATTACTTGTGATTACTTATATTTTATTTACTTACACTAATACAGTTAAAAAAGCTCCTATTTTACTGTACCTGTTTTAGAAGTGTTTTAATAAATATAATAGAACCAATACTAAAGTTATATTATTTTTTAACATTTGAATATCTAAACAGAATAAATAGTTACATGTAATAAAATAAAATAATCAGATTTAGAAAAATGATTCAAATAATAAGTGAAAATGTAGTCGAAGAGAATCTATGTAAATGATCACGAATTTGTCTTATCCATGTATCTATGTAATATCTATATAATATCACGAATTCGTATCCAAAACTTTCAGATTTTCACCAAAAAATTAAAGTTGATGAAACAGAAATAACGTCATGTTTTATGTCACGAAGAGCCAAAGAGGTTAGGTATTGCATGAATAAATATTCTTTACACATAAAAACCATAACTTATTTCATAATTTAAATGGAACGTGTTACGAACGCAATGAGGTGATAAGTTTGAAAATTTTATTTATTCATCTGCATCAACGGTCAGTTTGTGCAAATAATCATAGCAAATGTGTCACAATTAAGCAAACTCAATAATTCTCACAAAAGCAATTCATTTGAGAAAAAAGAAACAATTTGGGAAATAATACTTAAACAACGTACCAAGTTTTCCTCCGGACATTTTGTGAGTAATAAACAGTCACAAGCAGGTAGAAGAAAAAGTAAAAATAGTGGAGCAACGTGTACGAAGTACGTAGTAAAACCGGTGCGTGCCTCGCTGTGAAGTCCAGCAACAAGTGTTTAGCGCGCGCTGCTGCCGCTATGCTGCTGCTGCTGCTGATGGGTCGTCGTATGTGGTCTGATTCTAATCTATAAACTCGGGGAGCGTGCAGTTCTTACGAAAGCAAGCCTGATATGAGATAATTATTGCCTCCACGGTCCACTTTTAATGTGTTACCTTTTTTTATATTTCGTTTCCACTATTTTGCACCGATGACATATATACTTTATCTTCTCAAGCGCAAATATGCTTCATTATAATTTTCAGTATTTATAGAAATCTCCCACAAATCATATAGCTAGGATAATATACATATATTCTTTTTTCTGGCACATGGGCCATTTGTAAATACCAAATTCCAGTATCTATGCTTCCTATCTCACAACATTTTCTGTGATTGATAGTTCCAACCCTATTCGCTCCTTGTCGCATCAAGATTCGAAGGTTTCGTGTGAAGACTGAAACAATCGATTGCCCAAATGATGACTAAATTGAAAAGAACGAAAATCATGATGAAGTTTATTTGCTTTACGGCCAAAGAATTTGCCGGAAGAAAATGTTCAGAAAAATGAAGTTGTTATGTTGGTAAAATGTGCGTCAATTGATCGAAGAGGGGACTGAGCTGAGTGAGAAGACGCGGGCCGACTAAACAAATACTCTTAGAAAAAAAATGATAAAATGTTCGCAATAAAAAGAAATAGAAAAAATTATCAGTATGCATTTCGGTACAGCTTCGATAACATAAACTGAAGTCGATATCGAATGCTTCGTATCGAATAATTGCAATTATATAACAGTGTTTTCTGAACTTTAAAAAACAGACATAAAGTAAGGAAATTATTTTGCTGGTATTTCGTTTCATCATGATAAAATGTAACTAAATTATACATTATAGTACTTCTATTATAGCAGTATATTTTCGACTGATCATCAATTCGTCAATCTTATCTACCAGGTCAATGGACTAATCTTATGATGTGTTGATTGGATTTTATTCATAAATATTAAAAAAAATCATAGTCTTGCGCCATACATATCATTTACATTCTAACCACTAACTTACTTTTTGCTCGCAAGTCATTGTAATGTTAAGAAAGCAAAGCGAAATAATTCAGTATCTCAGTCAGCAGCAATATAATCAGTCATGATTTAAAATTATTTCATTGTCCTCGTGTGTTTGAATTTGCCACTGTGCGGTCACGCAGCATCTGTTGCGTCTGCGTACTCGGCGGCTCTCAAAGTTTTGACATTTATCTTCTAGATCCACAAGAGCAGAAGTGCAAAAGAAGCCTGTAACGCGTAAATATACTGAATTCTTGTTTTCTGACAATTTTGTTTGATAAATTGCAATAGATTTTCCAAAATGAACCGATTGTTCGGTCGAACCAAGCCTAAAGAGCCACCCCCAAGCATTAACGACTGTATTGCTGGGGTAAGCTTACTTTTACTAGTTTTTAAGCCTTGAAAACGTTACTTGATTTTAGGTTAAGTCTCGACAATGAATCACACCTCATATTTTTTTCATATACGCATTTTAAGGATTAACCATTTAACGATATCGTTTTGTTAGATTTCATTTCACAAGTAACTTTTTCAAAATATAACGGTCAAGAATAATCATTCGACTTATACTACTAATTTTGAAACTTATCTTTTCTTATCTTTTTAATGGCTTATTTTGTTTCAACTCGTCGCGTATACGAGCTATATATCTCTTCAAATTAGTAACCAATACCCTGATTCTTATTGCACAATGGATATATAAGCCTAATTATAAATGAAAAATAATAGGTTGACAGCAGAGCTGATTCAGCAGAAAAAAAAATTGCTAGACTTGATGCAGAGTTGAAAAAGTTGAAAGATCAAATGACAAAAATGAGAGAAGGACCTGCTAAGAACGCAGTCAAAGCAAAAGCTATGCGTGTACTAAAGCAAAGGAAAATGTATGAGCAACAAGTTGATAACTTGAGACAGCAAGCTTTTAACATGGAGCAAGCGAACTATGCAACTCAAACTTTGAAGGATACTCAAGCGACAGTTGTTGCTATGAAAGATGGAGTCAAGCAAATGCAAAAAGAATTTAAAAATATCAATATTGATCAAATAGAGGTACAAACTTATAAAAATAACCAAATCAAAACAAGGATTATTTCATCTATCAATTACATTTTTTAGGATATACAAGATGATTTGGCTGACATGCTAGAACAAGCAGATGAAGTCCAAGAAGCCATGGGTCGCAGTTATGGCATGCCTGAAATTGATGATGATGAATTGGCTGCAGAGTTGGATGCTCTAGGAGATGATTTGGCTTTGGATACTGACACTTCTTATTTGGATGATGCTATCAAAGCTCCAAGTGCACCTGACAAAGAACCTGGTGCTGCTTCAGTTACAAATAAGGTTCGTTAGATTTTTTATCATGTTTTATATTATCATTAAGATATTCAAGTAATTACTTTAATAAAGAGTTTTTCTACTAGTTTACTTCGTATTTTGTGGAGTTATTATATCTAAAATTATTTTATTTTTTTTAGGATGGAGTTTTAGTAGATGAGTTTGGTTTACCTCAAATACCAGCTAGTTAAAAAATGTCAAGTGCACTTAAGAATTTGCTTCACTTTACAGAGCCATTAAGTATTTTGGCTTACCCAAACAATGCTTTATCATTGATAATAATAATTAAATCAGTGTTTGTCAGTGACATAAAGATTAATACATATAAAAGCATTTCAAAAGCCACAAGCTTGCGATATTTTATAAAGTACATAACAATAAATTATGTTCTTATTTTATTTATTTTTTTATAGAAATATATGTATAAATATACATACAATATATTCTTTTTACTTATTGGTGAGGTAATTTAATATTTTGTAAACAAACTTGGTGATATTAAGTATATGTTTGTACAAATTTCATGAACTCAACTTTTTAGTGAAATCTTTAAAAACAATTAACTTATTTATATTATACAGTAATTCAACTTAAATTTTTCAATTTTTATAAATATACTTGGCACTAGAATATTTTTTTAAAATGGCAATCAATTATAAAAATTACAAAAAAAGAATTAAAAGCTTTGGTTCAAATTAGTTATAAAATAAAATATTAACAATACTTCGTTTTGAAATTGATAACATTGGCTCATTAATAAATAAAAGCTCAATTTAGTTGTAATCTAGAAACATTAATTGGGATTTGCTTTTCTATTTTAATATATTGTTCAAATACACTATAGATCTTTTCTCTGCTTTCTATAAAATCATCTTTCCCAAATTGTTCTACTTGCAAATAGTGATGAATGTGAGCCTGTAATTAGGATTAATTTGCAAACAATATATGCAACATGTGAAATATAATTTTATAAAATTTAAATTACCTTTTTATTGTATAACCTGTCAAATTGATGGATTATATCTTTGAATACGGAGGACATAGCAGTGGAATTTATCATGCATAGTAAAGAAGCTGGATGACCTGCAGGTGGAATAGAACATAAACCTATTTTCATTGCTTCTTTACTCCATGTTGTAAATTTGGCTTTATTTTGAAATCTAAAATAGAAATATCTTATGAAACTTTTACTTACATAAAACGAAAATAGAATAAAAATATAATAAGTATAATTGTTAATAATGTAGAAAAAACACTTAAAATGGATTTGTAATATCTAATTCACCTTTCAATATTTCTTCTTATGTCAGTTAAAGATGAATCTCCTCGATAAATATGTGCTGCTCCAATCACAATGGAGTTTGATTGCAGAGGGTCTACTTTTATTAGCTGATTATTTTTAGACCAAGCGTTAGTGAAAAGTTCATCTTGAAATCTTCAGTAAAATTATTATAATTTTTTTACGTTAATATGAGATCAAATTAATTAAAATATATTTACTTTGTGCCATTTGTGGTTGAAATTTGCGGTGCTGTTAATGCCACTGGACTAACGCTACTAAAAATGTAATGAAGTTGAGGATATGCAACTAAATTGGTTGCCAATTCATTCATATCTGTGTTTAAACTTCCAGGAAATCGAGAACCACTAAAAATGATTACATTGTTCTAAATATTTTAGAACTACTCATCATTATTGAAGTGTGTGTATATATATATATATATATATACTATTTTTTATGTACAGTCGGACCTCTGCTACTGCACGTTTTCGGGAGTTGGTGCCCTCCGCCACTGCCCGCTACGGGCTCTCTGGCGTTAGCCAATAAGAGCGCTCCGTCAGGTACGGGCACTGAGTGGCGTGCCGCGCTGGTCTCGAGGGGGGCCCGGAGAAAATGTTACAAATTTAGGTACATATCCCCCCCCCCCCCCACAAATTACAAGAGTCATAAATTACAAGGAGTGTAAATCATAAGTCACAAATTACAAGGAGTCATCTTATACTTGAAGATATGCAAGATATAAGAGCGACGCGTCGGCGTCAGACCCATAAAAGTGCGCCGCCGGCAGGTGCCAGGTAAGCGACCGAGAGCGTACGACACTGCGCTCGAGTCATAAATCGGGCAGTTAGAGAGGCTAGGTAACGGGCAGTGGCAGAGGTCGGGCAGTTGCGGAGGGTGCAGTAGCAGAGGTTCGACTGTATATATATATGTATATACTATTTTATATATATATATATAGGCTATTTTTTATGTTGTTGTCAACTGACTTTCAATTATGATATTATACAGGAATTACCTTGTCAAATGTAGAAGCATATTTACAATAATACTGTTCATATCTTGAAATGGTAAACAAGAAGCATTGTACTTAGCTTGATCAATGTTTTCTCTTTTACTGTTCATGTAGACATTACACATATCCTGTAAAGCACGATTTTCTGCAGGAAATACGCATGTAGCATGTTCAATTAATTCTCGCGTTGCCAAAAGTACGTTGTAAGGTGCAGTTACTACATCTTGTGTACTAGCAGGATAAACACAAGAAACAAATCTAAAAATAAAAGTAAGATTATAATGTTTGCCTATTCGATTTTCATGATGGTATTTTTTGTAAATAATTATAAATTTGTGAAGATTCCATAGTTCAACATTAACACATCTAATAGTAAAGAAAATACTGATTATTGTAATTACATACCTATCCACATGAGGGTACAAGTCATCTAGTAATTTCAGTGTTGCTGTTCCCAATCCAGAGCCAGTACCTCCTCCTAATGAATGTACCATTAAAAAACCATGAAGACAATCACATTTTTCAACACTCAGTCTTATTATTTCCTCCAATTTATCACGATAATCTAACCCATGAGTGTAATATCCAACAGCCCTGAAATATACAGTTAATTGAAAAGAAACTATGAGCATAATTTATAGATAAAGAATAAAATATTACTAACCAGTTGTTGCCTGATCCTGGATAGTTTGTCACTGTGCAGGTTTGATCAAATAAATTTCTTAGTATTCCATGACGATACCTTCCTACTACACTATCTTCCATATCAACCAATACAGCCTGGAAATAAATACTAAATTTCATATTCAAAATAAAATACAACAGAGAAAAAACTAGAAATAGTAAAGTAAAAGCATTGACTAGATTTAATGAAAACTGATACACGTCTTGAAAATTAAGTAAAAAATAAATTGTACTGGTAAATATTTTCATACACCATACTTACTCGAGCTTTGACCTTAGCAGACTCCAGATCGGACAAACTCTTGAAAGCAAACTCTTTTCTGCAATCAGGGACATGAAAAAAACTGTTGAAGGCATCAGACAATTCTCTATTATTTCTACTATAATTTTGGTAAGTTTTGAGAAGGCTCACTCCTCCACCTGTATTTTGCACCCCATATTCATGCAGAACTAATGGCCAGAAAGCTGCTCCAATTTGGTTTCCACATTGGCCAACTGAAAAACATCCGATTGTTTAATTAATCTGGAAACGGCACGGGAAAGTCTCGCGAACAACAGCTTGCTTATAGTTTTTGTATGCAACGTTGCTATTTTGGCTTGTAGTTAATAATGTATTAAAAAATAATGAGCAAGGTTATAGAAGTGGGAGGAAATAATCATTAAATACCTTGCACGGTGATAAATTGACTCATCTTTGTAACATGCTAAACTTGCAGTTGAAAGCTGAGTATCACCGAGTTTTCTTCACACTCTTAGGTACTGGAAATTTCGTAAAATGCATGTTTGGAGCTGTGACTCAGGCAGGTCGCACTGTACAACAGCGCATGAAAATAATATACCTACACACATAGTCGAGTTGTGTGTGACTGTTGGTGAGTACACTTGTGCCTACTTTTCGCGCCAATTTCCATTCTCGTCAACTTCAAGGTGAGCGATTCGAATGCCGAGCGTGCGCATTTCGCTTCGAAAGCGATAATTAAATTACGCGTGGGAATCCCCCAGAGAAAATGCTAGCTATTTACTTATATGATTTGTTTTTGCAATGCATTTGAAATCAATAATCAGTTATATAGGTAGGCAACTTAGATTGCACTTCTTCTTTCCTTTTGAAAAGTTCATTCTGATCATTCGCTAAAAATCAAATAGCCGTTAAATTGATTTTTTTTGTGAAAACTTTTATGAATGCACGCGCCTTCTTGTTTCCAGTCATAGAGAGCACTTTGGCGAACATTTTTGAGTTTCACGATCATTCTGAATTATTGCTATGTTTCATCGTGCTATTCCATGTATGGTTCATAATGATCGAATGTATCTTCAAAGGTTCAAATTGTTTACAATAGTCTAAAGATCAATTGTTCTTGATGATAAAATATTAGATACAGTATTAGAAAAGCGAGGCTTTCTATTCCTTTCGAATAACTTTACTTAATTGGGGGCTTTCATTACTCACATTGTCAATTCAGTAAAAAATATTTTTACCCAATGTCATATTATGAAATATTTGAACCTTCTTGTGTACGAGCATTGAACAACTCAAGACCCACTGTAAAAAAAGATTACGTTTTTTTCTGTTTAAATGTCTCGAGTTGGCACTTTGATATCCGCAACGTAACGCTTTCCTCAAGTCGAGTTTTCACGATCACATTCAACGCGTAATATTTGTGTACTTATATTAGCCACTTCAAAACTAAGGCTAAGTGTGAATCTGAATGAAATTTCTCGTCTCTTGCGTGAGTAACAATGTCTCTTCTATGCAAGTTACATTTGTCTTTTATATAGAGTAAATACAACGATTGTAGTTTGAGAGTAATAAAAAATTGAGCTGATGGTAATAACGACAATGTCAAATGATTGCACTACGTTAGGCGGTATAATTCGAAGGGATGCCTAGGGACGAAAATGTTCTAGCGGCAACCCAGGACAACGGTGTCGACTCGATGCAAAAGTCCTTCAAGCTGAGCTTTCTAATGGAATAACAGACACAGACTATTGGTGCATCGATATCAGCCGTAATAATGAAGCTGTCCATCAATAGCGTGCGGCTCAAGCTAACGACCGCATAAAATCTGTTCGTTTTCAGCTAAATTTTCGAGAATCGAATCGCTAGTTTGTGAAAATGTCGATGACTCGTTAGGCTCGCGCGACGCTTGCTTGCAGTTCATTGAGTAAAAACCTGCATAGAAGAGCAATTATCGCCGATTGCATAATTTTTTATCGTTATCAAATGTTCGGCTTCCACAGAGTTTTGGCTTTTCGGCTTGGGGAGCTGCTATTTGCACCGACGAAACGGCTTACTGCACGTCTAGTTCCGTAGCTTGCTTTCAAGCCGTTTTACTCGGTCGAATGTTCAAATTTTCGGGAATTGACGAAATTTCGAAACTTTTGCTTTGCAAGCTATTGCCAGAACAGCTTTTCCTTGATTCGCAGGAGCCGTGTGTTTGGTCTTGAATAAAGTGTCGAAAGCAAACGTAGCTGACTAATTACAAATTGAATGGTTGCCTTAAGATCTAGAATTGCCAATTTGAAAGTAATGCGCGTTGGCTTATACGATCGATTTGCGCAACGCGCGATGTCAGATCCAAGAAGCAATTGAAGAGGAGTCAATAGCACGAGCTCGCGGTAGACTGGTGCCAAGAATACACGAGTTTTGGAAGCAGTTATTAAGAGCTCTCGCGGGTAAACACGCCGCACTAGATCTTGAGATTGTCAGCGATGATCGAAATATTATATCGAACAGGTTTATTTAGAACGGTGCTATTTTGTCGGTGCCGCCGAGCGTGGCGTCCAATCGAACGAGCGGCGATATCGCGCGCGCGCGCGAAGGGAAGCGGCATGGACCGGGTGGCGGCGGGACGGCAGGGGAAGAGAAAAAGAAAAATAAAGCGACTAATAATCGCGCAGGCTGGCGATAATTGCCTTGAAATAGCGAGCGCCCGGCTCACAAATATAAACGCGCTGGCGTCGGATCGAAGGCGGACGCGCTAAGTCGAGCCCGAGCTGCGTCCGATTCGCGGCGGTAGTTTGCGCTCGCGGCTCCGCAGAGAAAGCCACCGCCAGTTATAGCGCGCTTGGATCGCTTTCCGATCGAGCGAGCATATAGCTGCGCATTTTTCTCGCGTGTTCGACATCGCGCGCGCCGACGCGAGCGGCGAGCGCCCAGTGCCGTCGAAAGCGAGACGTTCGACAGAGCAGCAGGTGGCGACGAGCGAGCGACGCCGGCAGTGCGCCGGGGCCACGGCCCAGCGATGGACGACTCGATGTCGAGTGAGTAGAGAGGCCCGCGGCACGGCGGGGCACGAGGGCCAGGCTGATGACGAGCGCTACCTGGCGGTTTCAGTGACGCTGGACGGGATCGCGGTGGCGGGCCCGTGGACGGGGCGCCGACTGCGCCGCGACAGCAGCGAGCTGGCCATCGCCGCGCTGAGGCGGCAGCTGCGCAAGTTCTTCGACGAGGCCGACGGGCACGGCTCGCTGCACCGCAAGCCGCCGGCCGCCCTGCAGACGCCCCAGTACTTCCAGGGCCTCGGCGTCGTCTCCTGCTACCCGGTGCCCAAGCTCCACTGGATGGCCTTCGTCAACGCCTCCAACTACAAGAAGCAGTTCTCCGCCGCCGACAACCTCGTGCGCGTGCCGAGGCCACAGGCCGTACTCGCCGCCAAACCCGCCGCCAAACCCGCCGCCAAACCCGCCGCCGACTGACCACCACTCGCCTCCGCAGGCCTGCCTCTTCGCCACTCCGGCTTATTTTTATTTTTTCCTTGCGCCCTGTTGGCCTCGTTCGTGCCAATCTTTGTTTTGCATTGTTACTCCAACCACTTACGACGATTAACAAGACGTTCACGTTCGTTCGAACATCGCTTCGATACAAGTTCGCCTGGACTGCTGGCAGTCTAACATTGACTCGTCTGAGTGACCAAGTATTTTAGCAAAGGACATTTTAAGGGATGTCTTGATTCGAATGATTAACGAGAGCTTTCGATTAATCTCAGTTTATAATTGTGTTTTTTTTTCATTTCCAAAGTATTATTACGTTAGACTACTAGTAATAAACGAAGCGCTAATGTGTATTAATTGATGTAATTATCAAAATATATCAACTTCATTGAAAATTCAAGTCAACTTTTTAAATGTTGTCGCTACTTGAAAATATTGCAGGACTATTTACGACAAGACGACGACTGCAGTCTATGTCGCCTTAGATTGATTTTTCCACGTAATTTGATAACATTTCAAATATTTGATAGAACACAATACAGATGATACCCATTATGGTCACAGATGATCAGTTTTGCCAAACCCAACAAGTACTGCAGCACGTCTCTAGTAACCGTCACCCTGATATAAGAAGAGGCGATAAAATGTAATAAATAAGTCAGAAATTAAACTGCTCGTCTGCGGCGCGTCAAATACTCCACGTCCTCGTTATGTTTATTACAAGAATTTTTAAAAACTTATCTTTTGCAACTATGATTTTGTTTTCATTCTATTGTACTATTCAGATTAAGTAAACATCTAATACACATTTCAAGTTTTATTTAAAATAATATACATCTGTACTTATTTCAAGAAATTTTATATCAAAACAATTTTGCAAATACCTAAATTCACCTAATGAGATAATAATGACAAAATGCAGTTCAAATAGAAACAACATAAAATTGTTCTTGCATATTTAATATTTAATATTTCAATAATCACAAATTGTAAATAGTCAACTTTTTGATTCAATAAATTCAGTTTTTCTGTCAGTTCTACATTGGAAAAATTCAATCAATCCCATCAATCATGTTTGACTACTTTATTTCAAATTTGTTTGGAAACATGAAATATTACAAAGTTTTATACAAAATTATTTCATCTAATTACAAGCACTGTTTTATAAAATATAACTTTGTTATTCATTAATATTTATACAAGCAAAAAATTAAGCTTACAAACTTCTCATTTATCAGTTTGTATAAAGATATTTTTAATATATTTAGTGTCTCATAAAATAAAAAATAACCTATACTATTCACATAAGAATCTTATAATGGACTTGACAATGTTTCCATTGCTGATTTCACCTCATCGTATATGTCCTTGTAATCTGGATGTTCTTTGATAAGAACCATCAAACTCCCCCGCTTAACACCAAGAGCAGTTCCAATGTCTTGTCTTGAAGGAGTATAGCAATATGGAATATTTTTATTTTCGCATACTACTGGTAAATGACACATAATTTCAATAGGATATACATCACCAGCAAATACTACAATTCTACAACAACAAAATACAATATTATGCTATAAATGCTTATCACTAAAATTTTTGAGTTTATAATAATAAACAGTATCAAATAAAATATTTGAAATATTAAAAGTAGTTTTAATGATTAAAATTCAATACTTGTAATATTATGTAAAGCAATAGTACAAAAATATTTACAAAAATGATAATAGAACTATGGTTATTGATTCATTCTATCATAAATAAAAGATTTTTATATGAATAAATAAACTCACCCAGTTTCTCCTTTCCTAATATGTTTCTGAACATCTTTCAATCCGTTTCTAACATAACCCTTGTGTTTTGATGCTGTCAAAACAACGAAAATTGAACTAAACGATTTGTTGTAAATGTAAAAGAAAATTATCATGTGTGATTTAAATACCTTTTTTTATGCATTTGTATATTCTTTTAGTCAATTTCTTTGGTGCCATAGGACCGGCTATTGCATTTACTATTTTTAATTTTTCTTCGTAGCTGACCTCTTTAACACAAGAGATATCTACATTTTCTTTTGTATCCTCATCAACTTCCATTTTTATTTTTATTTCTTGCATTTTCATTGAAAATATAATAACTTCTGAATACTTAGAAGAAATCTCAATAACCACGTGCGCACAGATCATAAACAAAAGTACTTTTTCTATTTCTAGGTTAGATAAGTTAGCTATTAAATAATTCGAGCACATTGGCACCGCATCGACGTGACGACTACGAATCGAACTAAACAAAGCCCGCCATATATTTGAAATTCATTATAATTATCACTACTCTCTAATAATTTATTATTTCATAACTTAAATTATTATGAACTCAATGAATCACATTTTATGATTTCATTATATAAAAATAAATTTATGAATAAGATATTATTTGTTGTTGTAGATGATAATTTTATTTTATCTTACAAAAATTATTTGAAAAAATGTTCTTACAGATTAAATCTTATTACACTTATCGGTTACTGTTAATCTAATACCATAAACATAATCAAAAATAGTCCAAAGTGTAGATATTAAGGTAGCCATAGCATATGAAGGTTCAGACAATTTTTTTTTGGCTTCTTCGATATCTTTTGACAAATTATTGAGTGCATTTAAATTGAAAAGTTTACCATCCTTGCATTCTATCAGAGATTCATATTTTGTAAGTAAAGCAGTTTCAAAGGTAGAGTTATTGCTTTTATCAACATAATTTAAGTGACTCTATAAAATTTTAATGATTTTTTTTAGTCAGTATAGATATAATTGTTTTTTCATAATACATTTACAAGTACTGACTTGAAGCAGGTTTATTGTTGGCCATTGTTCTTTACATGGGAGACAATCACATTCAAAATTGAATTCTTCAAGCTGTTTTTTCCGTTCATTATAGGTCTTAGAAAAGTAACATCCTATGTAGGAGTCAAATAACTAAAAAAAATTCAATTAAACATTAAGTTTGATAGTAATTAAGTAGCATTAAATTTAATTTTCAATACTTGTTCATTCTTTTTTATTGGCTGCAAAGCATAAATTATGAGTTGCATATCTTCAGTAAAACATTTCCTAACAGTTGGATAACAACTGTGATTAAGGAAACTAGGAACTGTAGCAAGGCAGATACCTCTTTCACAACAACGGTTGATTTGACATTTTTCTATACTATTTTCAAATCTACAGTCAGAACTTCCTTCCATTACCTTTGTATCAGTAACATTTTGATGTATTTATTTAAATTTCAAATCTACATTTTGGTTTACGAAAGATAAAAGTAGTATCATTATAGTACTTACACAATGAGTATTAATATCACTTATTTTAAAGAATTTTAAAAGTAATGAGCCAATAAATAAAACATCTTCATTTTCTAATAGATCTTCAGTTGAACAAAATTTCATGTTTGTGCCAAAAAAATTAGTTGATTTAGCTAAAATGATTAATGTAAGGACTGAATGATCAATATGTATTTGTAAAGCATTTGCTGAAACATTGCTAGATAAGCTGTAAATACTTTGGAAGCAATTATCTTGGAGTTTATTGTTTGAAAAACATTTTTTTAACTCACCTAAAAGATATCGAAATAAAAACATCACATCATGAAAGTACCTTTGAATACAAAATTATAGGATCTAAGGAAATAAATTAAAAAATATTCACTTTTATAGTTGTCAATCTTCTTCAATTCTTTCTTAAGTTCTTCAATGCCTCCAGCTTCTTTAACTGACATAATGGTCAACTTTAAGCCAATTTGTTTCCAATAATCTGATGTTTGATTGAACTTTATGTATGGTATCATCTGACATTCAATATCATGATACTTTTTCCAAGCTTCATTTTTACATTCTTCAGAACAAAACATACACCAACTACAGTAATCACATGGTATACTGGCCCATGAAGTTTTTAAGCAATGGCCACAAAAAGCATAGAAATTATTCAAATTTAAAGCTGTAACATATGGTCTAGAGATATTTATAATTTCTCCAGGTTTTATATCTCTGTTGGCAATCAAATGTCTTCCATATTTTTCACTGTATTTTAATGACACAGTATTCAAAGGATCAGTAGATTCGTTAATCTTTAAAACATTTTGAATTTTCAAAATTTCTTCACTATTAATTTTACTGAAAATTAAAAATTATATTAAACTCTCTTAAATTATTAAAATATTTTCTTCACCTTACTCCGAGATGTCCTTGATTAAAATTTTAGAAGGAAATTCTGTTTCAAGTAAACTTGCATCATTACTTCTCACAATAGCTTTAGTTTTTTCAATGATTTTAATTAGCAAATCTTTATCTTTTTGCTCAACTTTACAAAACCAATATTTTGCTTGGTCCAAAATATTTTCTGTTCCATCCATATTCAATGCAGAAAAACATTGTATTTTTCGGCAAAGAAGTTTAACTTTCAGGCAATTTATTTGAGTAATTTGCAAAGCCCTATTAATATCTGCAATACTATCATTAAATTTTTGAATGTGTAAAAGAAAGGCTGATCTGTTACTATAAGCAGCAGCAAGATCCTCTGATGCAATAGGTGCTTTAGCTATACTTCGTGAATAACAACTCCAAATTTTTTCATGTGTCTGAGCAGTATGGTTGCATTTTTTGAATTCTTGGTTTCCTACTTGTCTTGCTTTAATTGATTCTTTGGATATTTTTGTTGGTATTTGATACCATGCTTTTAAAACTATATCTACTTTTTTTTCCATCAAAGCTTTTTTAATCAATGCTTTGTTTTTATCCATAACTGATCTGTATATATTAAAGAAGAAATTTTAAGAAATCCTCAGTAGAATATATTCTTACTCTTTATTATTTATTGTAAAAGTTTTGATAAATTTTAATTTTTAATTTTTATAATTAAATAATATATTTTAATAAAAACTTTCGATTGATTTTTACACTAGTGTACACTGATAGGCATTTCTATAAAGCATCACCTATCCGTCAAGGATATTACAAAGATTCCACTTGTGCCGGGCGCCGCCGATTTTATCAGTTTTATAATCACGTGACTAAAGTAAGACTTTTCCAATGTCATCACATATATGCATTTACCTATATATGACTGTATGTTTATGATTGTATATATACATACATATGTATATAGGTAGTAGGTATGTAACATGATATGAAATAGCTGTGTAGTATATAAAATATGTATATAGTAAAGAATGTTCATGCAATATATTTTCTAAGGTACTATAGTAATGTTATTAGGCGTACTTCGCACGCTCTTTCTTTTACGTTTTTCTGTTATTTATCACATTATTTGAAACTTTTACATGTCAACTTGGAGATTCTAATGGACACGAATATAAGTCATGCTTTTAAAAAAGACTACATACATCAATATTCATTAATGAATAAAAATAGAACTTTCACCTATTTTTTTCACAAGTACCGATGAATTTTTACTCGTTTCAAGATAAATCTTCCAAAAGATTAATTCAACATACGATCAATTAAGCTATTATACTATTATACAACATACTGTAAGCTTTACATACTCAATAGTAGAATGTAATTGTGGCATTAATCGTATATTAGTAATACATTTAATATCGTGTGCTTTTTGTTGCTTCTATAAGAACACCTGTGAATATTATTCAAGTTTGACGGGTTTAATATTCTGATAATTAATTTTCATTACTTGCATACTTCTTAATTTACAATGTATGACATTTTCTTTCCCTTTCTGCCAAATTTTAACACGATAATATTAATTTCCGTATCACAGATGGTTAAAAAATTAACTACTTGTACAAATAATTTCAAAACGTAACGTCTTATGTCTTCAAAACGATTTTATAACGATATTTTTCTAATCTTGCAGATTATTATTTATAAACTGAATTTACTACTGAAATATAAATCTGGTACTTCTAGAAATATAATAAAAATATTTCAAAGTATACGAAATTTCACAATTTCGCGCTCTTTTTTAACATCAACCAAACCAATTACAACGCTGGGTGACGGCGACTTATCATTTTTTTAAGATAGGAGGAGAGGATTCGCGCTCTTTTTTAACATCAACCAATTACAACGCTGGATGACGGCGACTCATTATTTTTTTAAGATAGGAGAAAGAGATAGGATAGGATAGAATAGGAAAGGGATAGAATAGGAAAAATAAAAAAATAACGTTATTTAGCGCACCTCGTGAGCTTTATTTTTATTTTTCTGTTATTTATGTAATTATACAAACAATGTTGTTATCTATTATCTGTTGGTGGAATGGTAATATTCTGTTATCATACAATCATAACTTCAGTCAATAGCACTGTTTTTTCGGACCTAGAAGATAGAAATAAAAATAGGAAAAAGAAAAAAATAGGAAATGTCGATTCATAAAATAATTATATACATATTTAGTCTAATTGCTCCAATAATGAAACATCTTATTTATTAAAAAAATTATGATATGCATAATTCCAAAAATTGTCATAACGCTCCGTCTACACAGTAGACTATATAAGAATCTTGATGGCTAACTTTCATACTCGGATCACATTTCATTGAACAATGTAAACAAAACATATATATGTGTGTGTGTGTGTTTTGTTACAATGTTGTTACAATGTATATATGTTTTGGTACAAAAAATCGCCGAAAAATTGTATAACTGCGTGTATATATATAATTGGCTGCAGTAATTAAAACAGTAAAAAAAGTATGTTTAATGGATAATAATGTCGTCAAATTAACCAGTGTAAGGGATTTTCTACATAAGGAGATATTGGATGTCGTACACCCGCCATCAAAAGTTTATCGTGGTGAAAAATATAGCTAAATGATATATATATTATTGCACTAATAATGTTAATACAGATCTGTTTTTTATCGGTACCCGCATCCTGTGCAATCACGGACACACCCAGATGTTAACAAACAATTGATTTTGTAATTTGATAATCTCAATAAATGTTCGATGTCTCCTTATGCAGAAAAGCCCTAATCGTTTTAGTGATGAAAAATTATAGTGAATGTAATATGAGTTTTTCATTGTAGTGTGTCGATGTTTTAAATCAACTTTCCTAATATGTCATTTTTTTAACAATATCGGAGACATTTTTATGCAAAAAGAGGTACTTAGAAGTATATAGATACTCTGCGCGGACATTAATTCGCGACACGTGAAGTTCAAAATGCAAATTACTTAGAGCATCGATGACGCTAAAAGAGGTTAGGTTAATTAAGTGCTTATTCTAGCAAGTTGTGTCCCGCAACTTGTCAGGAAAAAACCATTTGAACCTACCAATGCTTATGTTAATCCTCGAAAATAATTTCAATTATGAACTTCGCGGGTCATGAATTAATGTCTGGATGGTGGGTACCTACAAAGTATATATACATATATAATTGCTCGAAAATTTGAAAAGAGTGACACGGGCGTCACGTGATATTAGAAGGGACGGGAAAGGGGACAAAGATGTCTCTGGCGTCGAAAAACGGTTGGAAACGTAGACGGTAGACCGGCTTGACTCGTATAACATAACGAAGCTTAGGCAAGAGCACGAGAGAGAAAGAGACGCAAGAACATTGCGACCAATTGCGTCAAGGGGTTGGAGCGAGAAGGGAAGAGGCGGCTGGCGTCAGTGGAGTTTGCTTCGGGGCTCGGCGGCACGAAGACGCCATATTGGCACGCGGTGAGCGAGTATAGAGCGGCGACTGACGAACCGACAAGTGCGAGTATCAGGGACCGCGAGTGCAACGGAGAATAACCTCCGTCCAGACGATAGCAGCCAACAGACAGAAGCTGCCGCAGACCCGCGCGGTTTTCAGTGATCAATTTAGTTTACTCGTAACGGCCAGTTGGCTTTTGCTTGTTGTCGTGAGCGCGCGTGCTAGCAGCGAGCGAGCATGGATCCGGCCAAGCTGAAGGTCGTGGAGCTACGGGCTGAGCTGAGTAAACGCGGCCTCGACACCAAGGGTAACAAGCCGGTGTTGGTCGATCGATTACGCCAGGCCCTCGACGATGAAAAGACCGCTGGCGGACCTTCTGAGTCGCGTAAGTCATTTACGCTCAGCCGACGTCTCGGGGATAGCCCGACTTAACCTCTCGCCACTCTGTCCTCTGTCTCTGTCTATCTCTTTCTGACTCCGGCTTCCCTCGCTTTTGGCGCCGCCACGCTGTTTTGACTCGTACGAGCGCGACGAGGACAGTCTGATAAGCGGCGCCCGCCCCCGACGTTTGTCCAACGCGCGCCTCACGGTACTCTTATTTTCCCGTTACCCCGCGAGTGCGCGTCTGTTTTTCACTTCTCAACTCTCATCAACAACGTTTTTCGCATCGTCTTTGTTGTCTTGTTCACAGACAATTCGCTTGTTTCTAAAACAGTACTCGTAATCGTTAGCGTAAATTACATTTTCACTCAAAATTGTTCAACTTGTTCAACTCTGCAATTCTTTTAATTCACATGGCAAACGTAATTTAATCGTAGTTTATGGTTTGAATGAGACTTTCCAAACTTTCAAATATCATTCAAGGTTCACTAGTTACATAATGTACAAAATTTATGCTTATTCAGTACTATTCCAATATGTATATAGGGAAATCAATTTATAGTATGAATATTTACAAAATAATAATTGCTTATATACTTTATTTTAGTAGTTGTTCCTACTCAAAAGCTAGATCAAACTTCAGAAAGTGAAGATGACACAGAATGTTCAAAGCCACCACCTAGAACTCCCAGTAGATCATCTAGACATACTTCAAGAGAGCCCACAACTCCTGCAAAAACTCCGACCAGAAGAAGTAGTTCTAGATCTTCACTGAGCAGACAATCACCTGCCAGATCTACTGCATCAGAAATCCATATAGAATCTGCCTTAGAACCTATAGTTGAGGAAGATAAGTCTTCACCCAATAAGGATGTTGCTCCTGCTGTCTTACCTCAGAAATCAGTTGTATCAGTTGAATTATCTAAAAAAGATGATGCACAAACTCTAAGCCCCAAAAAGGATTCTGATGAGCCAGCAGCTGCTCCCGAGATTGTTTCTTCCCCCACAACACTTAAGCAACAGACTGTTATTACGTCACCTAAGAAACAAGAACTTCAAACTACACCTAAAAAAGAACAGAAAGAAATTGTAGAAAATGAGGTAATTATTATAAAAAATTTTGATAAGTTATTCTATCTTTATGTGGTAATACAAATATTTTTTTTTAATTTTTTTTTAGTCCCCTAAGAAAATTCAGTTGGAAGTTGTAAAAGAAGCTGAAAAACATGTACCTGACCAAGCACAAGAAATCACTCGACGCTCCAGTGATGAAATTCAAAAACTGGCTAATGCTCAGAGTCCAATCAAAACTGGAGCTCAGAGTCCAATCAAAACTAGAGCTCAGAGCCCACCTAAGCAATCTGTACCTCAAAGCCCAGGTAAACAGCAAACTGTGGTTCAAAGTCCAGTTAAGCAAGCTGCTGAAAGTCCTGTTAAAGAAAAAGCTCAAAGCCCTGTAAAGACACCAGTCAAGACTACAGAATCTCCTGTCAAGGTGGAGGAGAATCTTGCCAAGACACAGACACCAATCAAGACTACTGAGAGTCCTATCAAGACAGTGGAACTGACACCTGCCAAGACTACAGAGTGTCCTGACAAGACAGCAGAACAGACACCAGTGAAGACTGATGAGAGTCCTGCTAAGACAGCAGAAGAGATACCAGCCAAGACTACTGAAAGTAGTCTTGCCAAGGCACAGACACCAGTCAAAATTGTCGAAATTCCTGACAAGGCAATAGCTCAAAATCCAGTTAAACCATCTGTAAGTTCAGAAAAGGTTTTTTGATTCTATTCCATCTGATGACTGTTAACGTATTTTTGTTTATAACATTTAAACAAATGAAATTAAAATGTTCAAAACATTATAACTATTTTCTTAATTGAATTTATTATGAAAAATAATACCGATACATCAGTAATTACAAATTGTTTTGAAAAAATTATGATAATTGACATCAATATTTTAATATAGAATAAACAAAGTCCATCACATGAAACTGCAGTGAGTCCAAATAAAAAACTGAAAGCTGATTTAGCAGAACCAATGCAAACAGATAAAGTGGAAGTTAAAGACTCAAAGGATAAAGCAGATGCCCAATCTATGGAAGTAGATCAAGTAAATGATGCTAAACCCATGGAAACAGATGGACAGGTATTTTACCAGTTTTGAGATACTTAATTAAGTTACTTTAAATAATAAAAAATAGTACCGAAGTGCGAATCAAGAAAACAGTAGAATATTTTAAAAATATTTATTATTTTTTTAGCCAGAAGAGGAACATGAGAAAAAAACAGAAGATAGAAAGCGTAAAAGATCGCCTAGTCCGCGTGAAGAAGCTCCGCGAGCTCCGCCAATCGCAAGACCAGAGAATGAACCAGTGTTTGATGAAAAGTCAGTGTTATTATCGTGGTGTAAGTATATAAACAATAAGCTTATTATATGTCAATGTTTATTGTAACTATATTAAACGTGACTACAAAATTAATTTTTAGATGACTCCGATTTAAATCTGGTGATCAATGCTTTGAATTTTCTGTCGGCATCACCAATGCAAGGAGACGGTTTTAATTTTATGTGGGCTGGTGTGCGTGCCTCTCATGGTTTTAACAAGGGCAAAATTTACTATGAAGCGAAAGTTACGTCTGAATTTGATAATATCTCAGCTGCAGCCGCTGCTAGTAAGGGTGACAATAGTGGAGCCATTCCCGCTGATGATGAGAAAATACCTAGTATTTTAAGACTTGGTTGGTCAATAATAGGCACAACCTTGCAATTAGGTCAGTTGTACTTGCTAGAAAGTAATATCTTTATTCGCAGAGATAAGGTAGCTAATTAAATAAAACTGGTTTTTCCGATAGGTGAAGAGAAATTTTCCTATGGATACGATGGGTCAGGGAAAAAATCGACAGACAAAGAATTTACTGAATACGGCAAGCCTTTTGCCAAAAATGATGTTATCGGGTGTTACGCCGATTTTGAAACCGACGAAAACGTGACATTAATTTACACGTTGAACGGGGAAACTCAAGGTCCAGCATTTGTTGTGAAGAAGGACGAATTGGAAGGTAAAGCTTTGTTCCCACACTTGCTGGGCAGAAATTGTTCATTTTCAGTAAACTTTGGGCAGGAAGAAAACTGGAGCCAACCTTTAGAAGGGTACATATTTTTTATTCGACAGTAAAAAAATATTTGGATGTTGTTACATGTTTATTATATTCTTGATGTTTAGATACCACTTTGCTGGTAAAGTTGATGAAAATGATCGAATTCTCGGTCCTCGCCGACCTGAAAAAAGAGAAGACTGTGAGGTCATTCTCCTTTGCGGTCTACCGTTATCTGGAAAAACTTCATGGGCTATGAAACATGTAGCTGAGAATCCAGAGAAAATGTATAGCGTCTTAGGAACGCACAGTCTTATTCAGAGAATGACGGTAAATATTAATTATTTCGATCAATAAACTTAAGTCTTCAATTTAATATGTTATTTTATTCCATGCAGGTTGATGGAGCGCCTTTGAAAGACAAGTTCAAGGGGCGTTGGGAACACGTTGTGGAAAAGTGTTCAAGAGCCGTCAACAAATTACTAGAATCAGCTCCATCTAGAAGGAGAAATTACATTTTGGATCAAGTAAGTGCAAATCTCAAAAGATATTCTTAGATTCAAAGTTACAAATGCTATAATTGATGATTGCTGTGCTTGTAGCAAGCAAATGTATATGGATCAGCTCAAAAGCGAAAGATGAGAAACTTTTATGGATTTCATCGAAAGGCAATAATTTTACTACCAACCGATGACGAATTGAAAGCACGCATAGCCAAACGTAAGGAGGAGTCTGATGGCGAGGAGATTAGAGAATCATCTATGTTGGAAGTTAAAGGTAAACAATTACAGTAATTGCCGTCAAAAAAATTTCACAGAGTAATAATTCATGGATATTTGCAGCAAATTTGTCTGCCCCAATGGTCGGCGAGTCATTCGAAGAAGTTATATGGGCCGAACTTGCAGAAGAAGAGGGCAAAAAACTGATTGAATCATATATATCAGAGGGTAAATCTGCTGGATACGGACAGAATCAGCAGTCCAACAAACGATCTCGCTTCGATAACGGGAACAAAGACCGCAACAATCGGGATAACCGCAGGCCAGGCTGTAAGTCAAATGTGTAATTTGCAACTGTGTACAGGTTAGGCGCAATCAAATGAACTCGCGTTTTTATTGTAGTCAACGACAGAAGAAGCGGAGGTCCGTGGAGAGGTGGGCCCGGTGGCGGTTGGCGTGAAGGCAACCGTATGCGGGGAAGTCCGATGGGCGGCCGCTATGGATCACCGGGCGGCGGTTGGCGAGGTAGGGGCGGACCACCTCCTAGAATGGGAGACCGCAACGACCGACGTCAAGGGAACGACCGCAACAGACAGTCCGGACGCCCCGGCGGCTGGAACGCTATGGGGTGAGTTGTTTATTTTCGGTTTCTCTGATCCTGAGATTTGCCGTGCGCCGAAAACACGTTGAAATGCCCGTAGTTACCAAGGTGGCGGTGGCTCTAGCGCATGGGCCAGTCAAGGCTGGGGTGGCCAGTCGGGCGGCTGGGGCGGCCAATCGGGCGGCTGGGGAAGCGCTCAGCAGGCCTGGGGTGGCAGCGGCGGCAGCTGGAAAGGTTACGGCGGTCAGAACAACTACGGCGGAGGCTCCAGCGGCAATAGTAGCGCCGCTGGTTACGGCTCGAGTGGTTACGGCAATGGCGCCAACTGGAGCAACTGGAGTAGCCAGTATTATAATCAGTATTGGGGTGGCAACCAGCAGGCCTCCGGCACCAACACTGGCGCAACTCAGAGCGTTACCGGTCAGCAGACCCAGTCGGCTCAGCCCGCTGCCTCGCAGACCAGTCAAGCCGTAAGCAAAAAATAACCACCCATCACGCGCTAATTCGATTGAAGCCCCTTAAGCGACAGAAAGTTAGGTATTACGCTCTTCTATCTTCGTTAGATTGACACCCAACAATACTTGCTCAATTTCTTCATTCTCCACCCGTTCCCCTTCTATCCTATTTAATGAATTATCGACCACAATTATAATTATTATTATGACCATTATGTGCGTGAGCGCGTGTAGTGTTTCCAGAAGATAATATCTTCAGCAAAAGCTAGGCTTTAAGCCTAGATACATTGGCGTTGCTATGGATGTTTTAGGCGTACAAATTTGCTGGGATGAAATTTTGTTTCTTGGCAACAACTAGCACATTTTTTATTATGTATTTCAGTTGTTATAATGTAATCTTGACTGCTATCGAGTTTTTAGATCATTGTATTTTATTTAATTTTATATCAATATCGTTACTCGGTTAGCGCATATACATATATTCATAAGATAAAAAAAGTAAAAAAGTGCTTGTAAGTGATGTTGATTCGTGTCCTAAAATTTTAACAGAAAAATAATATAAGATATTTTGTAAACTAAGTAAGTAAAGAGGTTACTTGCTCTTACCGAGGAGAAAAGCGAAAGTTTCCTTACAAAGAATAAATACAGTTAGCATCAGTTGATTGTCTAAAGTTAAAAACAATTTTTCATTTCTTCATTTTTGACAAACGTAGCAACTATCATAGTGTCACAATCCTCAAATAATCGAAACAGCGCTAAAGATTACAGTAGAATGAGATTGTTGAAAAGAGATGATTAATTTTTCTACCCTACGTATTCAACTTTGATACTTAATTTGATTAATCGTAAGAATAATTGAATGTTAAAAGTAAAAAATATCACTTTTGTGTATGTTAGGACGAATTTTAGCAAAGAAGTTTTACGATTTCTACGAAACATTAATTGTACAATTATATAGATCAATGATACAACTGAGAAAACATGATCTATGCTTATTAAATATTCAATGAAATGTTGTAAATTTTTATGACCAAATAGTGATTATACTTTATAAATAAATATAGTAATATTATTATAATATTACTCAGTGAAATAAGCTTTGTAGTTTATTATTTACTGCCTGATGTAACAGTTATGAATCCATGAATCCAATGGGTTCCTATTTGCTGTATCCTATGGATCAAAGGAATATTTTATCCCTTAAATTATCCCTAAAAAAGTTGATAATTATTTAATGATGATATCAATTTCCACGATTTGTTTTGCATTTTTCTATTCTGTTTCTAACACTACTATTTATTAAATATAAGAACTTGTTCTTCCTATCAATGCTCCATTATTTCGATTTCCGAATAAGAGCGTATAAAGAATAATGTTTTCATGCAATATACTGTATAATCGACATCTTTATTTAAAGATAAATTGCGATTGCGTTACCTTACTTTCTGACACTTATCGTTGCATGCATTATTGACTAACTAATGCAGTACTAACAATGGCTTCAATTTATATATCTTTGTTTCAATTGTTTATTTAGTAAACGTAATTGTAGAAAATACTAGAGGATTGAATAGCTTTCCCAAAATAGTAAGAAAAGAATGATTGTTTCATTAGAAAAAGTAATGAAATTAATGACAAACTTAGCAATGTTAGATAAAATGGACTGCGACGAGCAATGTGTACTTGCTTGAACTAATGGAAACGTAATGTTGCAGGCAAGCGGCACTAGCACGACAACTGGTGCAACCGACGGCTACGACTACTCCAATTGGCAGGATTATTCGCAGTCCTACGGCTACGCGGCTGCAGACTCGCAAAATCAACAGCAGCAGCAGCAGCAACAGCAGCCGCAGCAACAGCAGTAAGGACGCACAATAATTGAAGTTTAGCGATTTATGATGCCATCGAAATATTATTGCCTACCGTACACTGCGACGAGAAGCTGCGATTATTTGCTCAAAATAAACAAAAACAAACGTTCGACGAGCAGCTTTCGTTGATTGGTACGTCTCTCTTGCATTTTCCTAAATTACTTGTGTCACAGGAAAGAGAGAGAGAGCTACGTAATATTTGACCGTAGGCAAGTACATCTAGATTTTTTACACATGAATACGTGCGCGCGCGCACATACACATACATGCACGCACGCGCACACGCACACACAACACATCATACACACATACAAATGAGTTATTCCTCGGAAACAATTTACTTTTACTTCGGTACGATTTTGAAAAAATGTCAAAAGGGTAAACGCCTAATTTTTTCACATTATCATTCTATGGGCTACCTAAGAGAGAAAAAATTGCGCCCATCGGTAAAAATACTCGAGAATTTTTTCAACTCGTAACAAAGCTAAAATTCACAAAGTAAAATACATTTTATTAAAATTACATGAAATTGATAAAAAAAATTAAAAATGATAGCGTCAATCTAACTTCAACTCTTCCTATCCAAAATTCGACTCTTGCAGAGCTTTCTTATTGAGAACTCTGTAAAGGTTAAAAAATAAACAAAGATATAGAATTTGACGTTTTTGGAGCCGCTAAATTCACATTAGAATCCAAATTCCATTTTTTTAATTACCCATGAAATTCTAAAAAACCATATAAAGCTAAAATATATTTTGGTTTTTATTGACGTCAGCACTCGTTTGGGCAGAAAAGGGTGTCACCAACATGTGGAGCGATAGGTTAAATTATTTTCGGGTGGGCCACTCTTCGTAGAACGATAGAGTCAAAAAAATTAAGTGCACACAGCGCAAATCTTCGGTAGTGTCGCTAATTGATTATTTGAAAAGACGATACCAACTTATGGCACTTTTCTGGCAGGATTGCCTCTATGGTTACATATGTTAAGTGCGTGCGTACATGTGTGGGTGTATAGGCGCGATGGTGCTTATTTATGGATTGAGATGCACCAAACAATCGACGAGCGAGCCAATAAGCCAGGATAAGCATTTTCCACGGGTTAAAAATGCATATATAGATTATAATGATACGACTTGCATAAATACTGATGGTCGGCACGAGTTTTTGATGACCGGATCATGGCATTCACGCTACAGAGCTTCATGTAAATATGTAAAAAATAAATTTATACCGACCTTCTGATTTTTTTAAAAGCGCTCTTATGCTGTACGAGGGTGTTAATTTCTCTTCTAATGCATTAGTAATCTGCTTTTTATTTTTCAACTATACCTTTTAGACATAATAAGTATCCAAAAGTGAGCTTGTTCAACGCTCGAGCTCGACATTTCATTCAAAATATTAATATCTTAAATTCAAACAACTTTGACTGTCGATTTTTCTTATTCAAGACGTAGAATTTTTTTCTAATCTTATTTGTTCTACATCGTTTGTCTTACTTATTCGATAATTCAATATGCATAAAACAGATATATCTTGTAATTCCCGACTCATGAATATTGCGTAGATTTATTTAAAAATAAATAAATAAAATCGCCTTTTTTATTAAGTTAAAATGTATCAGTTACCTTTAATATGTTGTTTTTAAATACAATAAGTATAATAAATATAATTGAAGCTAATTTTGTCGTTTGTTCTTTCGTTTCCGATTATTTTTTTCCTTTTTGGACGTATATGTGCCAGCTATCAAATGAAATTGTAGTGAATAATTGTCCTCGTAAAGTTGATTAATATCGAAAAAAATTAAATATATATAAAGCAACTCTATCGGAATTAGAATATATTGAACTACCGACAACTTTTTCAAAATATTTTCGATTGTTATTGATATAATTAACATCAATAATATATATAAAACAGACAAATTTAATAAAATTTTCAACAGTTAATATTAAGGAGAAATTACAAGGGAAATTAAATTCGACATACATTTTTCTAAGAAATAACCAGAAAGTTTATTCAAATTAGAATTATATAGCACACAATACTACCACAGCGTTACCGCATTTGGAAGTTATTTAAAATGATATTTGTATCATTGGAATATCGATTTCATCGAAAAAAAATAATCACATTGGTTGTGATTATTTTTGAGTACAACAAAAATCAAAAAATTATTGTAAAAACAGTAAGTATATCAAGATATATATATATATATATATATATATATGTGTGTGTGTGTGTGTGTGTGTGTGTGTGTATAAAGATATATATATATATATATATATATATATATATATATATATATATATATATATATATATATATAAAGATTTAATCACATCCACTATTTTCTTTTAATCAAAATATTTAAAAAACTTCATTGTAGAACTTTTTGGATATTCTGTTCCTCAAAATATCATTCAATATTCAAATTTTATCATTGCATCACATTTAAACAAACTATTTTTTCAACAACTTTCAATAACTAAACAGTAATAATGAATTTATACCTTAGGCAAGAAAAAATAGGAAAAATTTAATAATAAAATTGAGACTTTAAATTATAATTTATATTTACTAGGTAAAATCGATAACAAACTATAAGCAAGTTACAGTAAACAATGAAATTTGACGTAATTTATAACATTAAAATAAATTTTTAATTTAACCGATTTCTAACATTTTAAATATTATTTTTTTTAAATTTTATATTACAGTGGAATATAATGTTTCAAATTTTCTTATTCAACTTGTACAACTTTCATCTTACACTTTGAATATGAAATATCAATTTCAATGTAGTAGTCGCGAGTTCACCATTAAATTTTTCCATATGAACAAATGAGGGTAAAAGAGCCAATATATTCATGTGCATGTATAACAAGCCTGCGGCAAAAGAGAAAACGTACAAAAAGCATTATAGCATCTATTTATGTATCGTAATATGAAGGTACACAGACTCTATTGAGTATAAAACTATTTCAACTTGTAATCGACTATGGAGATTGCTTTGTACGGTATTTAAGAATCAGAAGTTAAATTCATGCTCTGTACAAATGAGACTTGTAAATAGCGTAAAACCTAAAATTTTTCCTGAGATTATTATACGTTCTTCAATTATCTGAATTAGTCTAAGCGTGACAGTACTAGTTAATATTTTCATACTTTAAGAGTTAGACATCTAAGTACAATTTTTATTAAAACTATCTTACTCACAGTGAGCTCGTTTGGATTTGTAATTAAAATTTGAAGAAATACTGAGATTCCATTAAGATTTTATTTCAAATAATATTTTGATTTCTACAAGATTATTTGTACTGCCAAATTGTAATAAATCAAAAATGATGACAGTGAGTAGTTTTTTAATTATTTAATAAAAAGTTGAAAAGTTTGAAAAGTGAACTTTTCAAAGGTTTATAAAAGATATCTAACTCTAAAATCACGATTGCAATACTATATTCAATGTAAAATGATAAATTATGTCTCGCTTTGACTTTACATCTTTTTTTTTATTTTCAATAAATCATAAAATTCTAAGAAACTATAAAGTTTCGTAAAACAAATCAAGGCAAAAAAATTTATGATGCGATGCAGTCATTACCAAAGTAAATGTAATGAATACTAAAAAATATAGCCCCTAAGTTTATTTAATCATTTCAATTGTCTACACCCTACTGGGTTAATTACACCAGGGTTATGAAAAATATAATACTAAATGTTGCGCGATATTTTAAGCGTGACTTTTATCGAGCGCATTTTATAATTTGTACAATCGACTATTCTCGTACTAACAGTAATTGATCTGATAAAAATAAAAATAATTTACAAGTAACTCTGTACAAATGTATTTTTCTCAATATACATTGAATAACGTACGCCGTACCAAACAAAAAATGTCCGTTGACCATGCGCCTAAGAACTTTTTTTATTTGGTATCTTTTACATTAGCTTATAAACTTTTGCGGTTCTAAATAACTACTTTGTGCGCATCTCGGTACAGCTTATAACTTTTTACATATATCAAATTGTTTTGAATCATCCAATAAAATTATAGTCGCAAAGGCGCTTCTGCCTTAAATTACAACATTGCCATTTACCATTGTTTTGGTACGAAATGACAAAATCCCTTTTTCCTCTTTTTTTATTGTTTTTTTATTCATTCAATTTTCTATCCTACTTGCAAATTTTATTTCTTTGCGTGAAATTTTTTTCTTTTCTAAAAGTATTGAAAGATAGCATGTTTAAATGCCATAAATCACGCACTCAGTTGACTGATATTTCCTTTTACTTTTTCAGTCTCCTGAGTCGTCATCTATGCATTTAAATAACCTGAAATGAAAATAAAGTTAAAATGTGATGATTTAAATTAACGCGTTATAAATGGACAACGCATAAAAAAGAAGGATAATTTACCCAATATCACGGATTCAGTATGCCCGGTCGCTTTCGGTTTCGTCGATTACGTTCCAAGAGGTTTGATGCATCTAAAGGATCATTCTTATTTGGCAATTTATCTAACAAATTAAGCAAAATGCTATTCAGTCTCTTTTTTCTGTCCTCTCTCTGAAATGAAAATAATAATAATTTTATTACATTATTAGTCGTGCTGAAAGTGGAGACGAAAAAAAATGCAATAGTGGCTCGGTACCTGAACAAAGTTAACTTGAACGTTGACAATTGGAGTATCAATCAACCGTCTTCTTCCTCTGGGTTTGGCTGGTTGGTCTTTATTCAATTTAACAATGTCGCAAGATTCAGATTTATGAGTGGTGTGTTCTGTTTCATGGCAATTTTTCTTTTTATCTTTAGAACCTTTTGTAATTTGTATCCCTTCAAGGCTATGAGGCTAAATTGAAAATATTTATATTCATATTAGAAATAAACATTAATAACGTTTTGAACTGAAAAATTAAAAATGTTTTTATGTTTACCAAATAAGTGCGATAGTGTTTGATGCGCTGCGGGAAGGATTCGAAAGCATAAGGTTTTGTGCACACTTGATGACGTGACCTAGCGACTTTCGTGAAAAGCCTTGCTGCTCTATCTACACGGTATTCACACACGTATATGTGCTCTGGCTTAGCGTTCACAGGTCGACCTAAAAAATATGCGAACATGGTTATACTATCGCCCAACGTATGTACAATCACTTAGGAAGAAAATGAAAGCGCTAAATCATTACCTTTACAGAACGTATGAACGTCGAGAACCCAGCAACGTCCTGCTACTAGATCACACGACACAGCTTCGTATAGCGGAGCACATACCACTTCATTTTCGTAAAACTTGCGCGTTGGCTCATGGTATGTTTCGTGTGGTCGTAGATAATGATGTCCGAATACGAATCTTTCTCCGCTGCAATACGAAATAATTAAATCGTTACACACGATTTGAATTTCAAGAATTTGTAAAAAAACAAAACCAACCTCTGATCTTTATAAAGTCTCTCGATTCTAAAAATATCCATCTGCTCAAAGTCGAATTTTTCGATGGTCTTGTAGGTATGTTTTTCTGGAGTATCGCGCAACACGTATACAGTGTCACCTGTTCTTAGCTGCAGATCCCCGCGCATTAGAGTCACATAATACTTTTTGCCCTCTTCCTCTTCCTCATTTTCTAGCGGAATCTCGTAGTCTACCTCGCGAGGCTGACATCTCTCGCACATATACGAATCAGCGCTAGTGTCAGCTTTTACGCAATCACAATGCTGCCAGACAAGACAACGCTCACACTGAATCATTAGCCCTTCATCCCTGTGCAAGCCACAAATGCAACGAATGACATCCTCTTCTCCAGCAGTTGAACCTCGCGGAGGTAGAAATGCCTGAGATGGTGGTAATCCCGTGGCTTCAGTAATAGGAATGACGAAATCAGCCTTGCTACCGATATAAAGTTTGCGGAGTCGTGCAGCGGAAATACCGACGTCAGAAGTACGCCCGAAGAAGCGCACGTTGTTGTCGAACATCTTAATGACATCCTGGTCGAATTGCTCTGGTGTTTTGTACTGACCGTTTTCAATATTCTGCTCAATCATTGTCAAGTCAATAGGCTCCAGTACTTTCTCATAGTACTCTGGTAGCTTCCGCTTGGGAGGTAATGTCATAAAAGGTGTGCACAACAGGGCTTCGTTCTCATCTTTGGCGCTCGTCATTACGCTGTACAGATCTTTTAGTACCTATTAAAACATTAGATTTTTCAAATTTATTCGTTTCTTAAACTTCGTCTAAGAATGTAAGGTTAAAAGTACATATACACAAGTTTACCTTAGCCAATTTAGCAGTTTTGTTAACTTCAGGATCGTCCTGCGCCTGGGCAAGCCTTCTGGTTCTAACGGTTCTCGAAACGGTATTAGTCAAAGACGTGAGGTGTGTAAAGAATACATCGGAATTGGTTTTTGTATCAACATTGCTCTTCTCTTTAATCACCTGTGTTCCAGTTACAACGCTAACATTAGGCTTGATAACACCTTTGTTCTGTAATTCCAAATTCAAACGTTAATGATGGACAGGGTGCAAAACGCCGACAAGCTACAAGAACTAAATCATACCTGGGCATTAAGTTGAACAGCCGGCAATCTACCTCTACGTATCTTTTCGATATTACGCACGAGAAAACAACGATGTTCGAGAACAAAGCAGCGTTGCTGGTGCGAAAGAGGTTTGACAACTGGCATAGGCAGAGGGTTGCCGTCGGGACCAATTCTGCGTGATTTGCACAAGCCGCTCTTACGACTGACGGTTGGATTTATACTTGGGTTGAACTGCTGCGGCTGTTGCTGTTGCTGCTGCTGCTGTTGCTGTTGTTGTTGTTGCTGTTGATGCTGAGGGTGCGTATTAATGGTGTTAATTTTACGCGCGTTTTTACGTGGTCTGCCGACCGAGCGTCGTTCGACTATAGGATTAGCAGGTGAACCACTAGTGACTGGTTGATTCGCTGGGCCTGATGGCCTGGCCACGCGTTGACTTTTACCACCTGCAACGCCGTTTATTATTACAGTAAAGTGCTAAATGTTAACTGTGTCTGCATTAATTAGTCAATTGTTACCTATGACACCACGACAGCTTTCGCTCCCACACCTGCATTCCTGGCCCTCGGAAGGATTGAATAAGGCAAAGTTATAATCATAGGTAAGCTCCTCTCCGGCTTCGATGTCTCTAGACGCAAAGAGAGCCATGCGCGGTAACCCATGTACACTCCATTTTTGCATCTCGCAGTTGGGTTCACACGAATGATTGACAAAGCGACCGTCGCCGCCCATCCGATGTCCATCGATTACCAGGCCACCATCCAAGTGGAGGCAATAGTGGTGCGTGTCGTTGGCGTAACGCGTTGCCATACGAGATTTGAATTCGCGTTCGGATACCACCTCACCCACGTACTCCAAGATAAATTCACCGCCTGAGTAAAATCATTACGTTTTTCAACGATAAACGTCTAATTACGTCTTTGATAAAAATTGATAATCGAAAAGAGCCTACTTTTGATTGCTTGGTGAGTGCGAACGCCCCAGCCTTTGTTTTCCGTCATGAATCTCTGGAGACCCGGTGCCCAGTCGTGCTTTTGTATCTTTTGGTTCTTACACTTGTCGGCGCAGGGACACAGTTGGGGCGAACACTCACTAAAGACCATGCGATTAATGCAGTCGTCACCGCAGCCTGCTTCGGCTTTACACTCGCAAGCCTGTGCCTCATACAGCATCGTCGGCTTCACATCGTAGTACACGTTCGAGCGGATCTTACGATAATTCCACGACGGCACCAGATCTCTACCCGGTAGCCGCGAATGCGTGTGCAGCCACCACAAGTCGTACGGCAGTTGGAATGGGATTTTGCGCTGTCGAAGGAACTTGCCGCAGTGATATGGTGGTGGTAAGAGTCCGTGTGGATGCTCCGAGGGCTCGTATACCAGCTTATTTTTATTGGTCCCGCTGTCCGATGCTTGGCTTTTTCTCGGCTCATCCTCTTTAAAATAGTCAGAGAATAGACCTGCTTGCAAATACCGCTTCTTCCAGCGAGGTTGTTTACGCCGGTTTCTGATCGGTCCAATTGTCTGCTTTATAAATAATTTTGCACATTACAATGTTGCTCCAGTAATTAATTAAAAAAATATAACGTATCCTTCTATCAAAATACGAAAGATAAATTTGAAAAATTATAGTAAAACTAAGCTCTAGTTGAATACAAACAAGTCAATTTTCACATTAAGGCTATGTAAATGTTTAACGAGGTTTAAATAATAATAAAAATTATAAGCAAAATAAAAATGTCTTACAGATGCCACAAGAGAAAAGCAACTCGCCTGCTTGTCGTGATCGTCGCTGGCAATGTCGCTACTAGGTAATGCATCGCTCTCAGTATCATACTCGTTACGCAACCTCTTGAGATTCCTCACTGTCAAGGTACACGGACTCGCCGAGCCTCGAATACGCCTATGATTGTTGTTGTTTAAGAAAGCATGGGCCTCAAGTTTAACACTCACGTGCGAATTCGCACACTCGAGCTTACGAACGTTTTCTTCGCTTAGCACTGCAATCTTCTGGCTTTGGTTGTATCTGTAATCGTGTTCGTTATTGAATTAAAACGTAATTACAAATGTGTTTTTTTTTCGCCCATTTGGTTTTCTTTTTCGGGTGCCAAATTCAGGTTCAATGATCCAAAATATGTATTATAAACATAAATTTACCTTTCTAATGATTCTTCAAGCGTGGCATTTTCGTCGTACATCCTTGAATCCTGAATTTTTTCATATTTCACAGGGCAGGATTTGTCGCAGGGTTTTGTACCGTCACACTCTCCGTCCATGTCCGTTCTCATACTAGAGCACGTGTGCTCACTTTCCTCCAAAGTTGTTCGATCATCGTCACGCGACACAGTGTCATCATCGACTTTCTTATTTTCTGCGTGCTTTTCAACGTCATTTGATTCCTTTGGCGTAGAAATCGATTCGAGATTCTTCTTTTCTTTGTTTTCTATTCTAGGCTTCTTCAGCTCGACGTTAATAACGACTTTTGGATTTTTATCAACTATATTGGCAAAAGTCTGCAACTGTTCTATATCTTGCAAAAGAACCGCAATTTGCTTCTTTTTCTTTTTCTTGAGAGTAGGGAAGCCCGTACGGTTGATCGATTTTCTGCGACGTATCTTCTTCTGAATCATTTTCACTGCTAAAGAACTACTGCTGGACAATTCGACTTTCGACGTTTTGTGCAGTACAACCTCACTTTCTTTGATTAAATCTAATTTATTGTCTGTCTCTTTCTTTTCTTTCTTGACTACTTTGCCAAGTTCTATGTCTTTTTTAGGTGGCATCGGACTTTCAATGCTATCTTTCTTAGATATCTTAATAGGCTCGCTATCTTTTTTAGTAACTTTAGTACCGTCTGATTTGTCTGTATCCTTCTTTACAGATTTGATTATTTCTGTATCCTTCTTCGATTCAATATCTTTTCTCGCTGCTTTATTATTAGTTTCTATATCTTTCTTTACTACTTTACCATTAACATCAATATCTTTCTTTACAACTTTATTGTTAACATCCAAATCTTTTTTCAATATCTTATTGCTAATATCAGTATCCTTTTTTACTGATTTACTATTTACATCAATGTCTTTCTTCGCTGGCTTACTACTAACATCCGTATCTTTTCGCGCGGTTTTGTTGTTAACATCAACATCTTTCTTAACTAACTTATTAGCCTCGACTTCTCTCTTACCGAGTTTAGCGACCTCGGAGTCTTTTTTTTGTAACTTGCTCGAACTGGACTCTTTTTCTTCTTTCGATTGTTTGTTCTTAGCCATTCGTTCAGAGCGATCAGAAAGACGAATCTCGGGTTTATCCAGTTGTACCTTTGCAATCTTGTCGATACTTACTTTATCAGCTTTCGGAGATTTTTCCGCAATAGGCTTGACTGTCTTGTCCCCAGCACACATCTTTTCCAGTTTCTCAATTTTATCAATCACGTGATTATTTTCTACTGGAAGCTTCGTTACTGTGACGCGCAAGTCTTTAACAATTTTCTTTTTACGACGAGGTTGCAAGTCAGTTTGATTCTGTGATTTATCGTCTGCTACTTCACTCACGTCAGTTTCTGAAAAATGAATCAATGAGTTCCATTGTAGAATTATATACTAGGCTCAACATCGTTCAAAAATTGATAAACGGTAATTTCAATGTAAATATTCGCATCGCTTCGTAATTTCATAATACATACCTGTTTTATCGCTTGTAACGCTGTCGGAAGACTCTCTTTGTTTCTTGTTAGACTCAACAGGAGCAGGAAGTAAAGGGTTCGAAGATTCCTTTTGAGTAGCTTGACTACTAGTTTCCGGTGACTGTTGAACTTCGTCGACTGGCTCCTCCGTATGATTGTCTGATGAGCTCCCACCTTCGTTCTCATCCTCTTCCTCGTTATTCTCTTCGTCCTCGTCGCGTTCGTCATCCTCCTCATCGTGCTCATCGTCCTCTTCACTGGCTTGGCGGTCCTGCGCATTGCTATGGAGACTAAGCACATGGTAATGCCGCTTTTTGAGAGGTAGACGTTGCTCATTAGGATTACTCGATTCGGTGACGCTTGCATTACTACTATTACTGCCGCTGTTGTTGCCACTATTAGCTTTCTCCTTTTTCAATCGCCGTTTAATTTTACCTAAACATTATTATTATTGTTATAGTAATAATAATTACGGTTATCATCATCATCATCATTATTATTACAATATATCATTTTTAAAACTTCTTATAAATTATTAATTACTGTATTTCTAAAAAAGATAAATTTATTGAAAATTTTTGAACAATTTAAAATCGATTGCATACTTACGATTACTGTGTTCAGCAACAGTGGATGTGTCGCAGCCTTTTCGCTTCTTGGTTATCTTTTTGACCCTGCCAAAAATCTGCGGAAGCAGTTCTCCGATCTTCTTCACAACAGACCCGTTACTACCGTAAGCATCGCCACTGGTATCGATCTGCCCAAGGCTGCAAAGTTTGGCAAACTCCTCGACAATGCGCTCGAGCTCTTGTCCAACACTTGGATCTACGCGAATTGGCGTTTTAGGAGGAGGTGCCCGCCGTCGGTGCTTGTGGTGATGGTGATGCCGATGGGAGTCACCGTTGCTCGATCCCTGAGTGAAAAAAAAACATTCGTTGGATCGATTTACTCGGATTTATTAGAAACTATATCGCAATTATAATTACAACACTTAAATTTACTTATAATAGTTCTGAAGAGTTATCAAAAAATCAGTAAGTCTCTATCTCTCTATCTCTCGGTCCAGTAATATTTAATCCCATGATTGGGACACAAAGAACCAACCGATTTAACGGTGTTTGACAATATCCTCGACTGATCCGGCAAAACAATTCTAATCCGAGGATCCTAATAGAACTTCCGCGCGGATGAACGAGGCAGAACAGGGAGAAGCGAGGAGCTTTGCCCAACAGTGCTTGGCAAAAAAGTTTGGGAGCGAACATTGCCAGGCATTAATTAGCGGACGCGGCTGCCCTTTCAACGGGCGATTTGGTCGGCACCCTCATGCATCTTTCATGAGTGGTGAGCCCTAATCGGCCTCCGCGACCCTCGCATGGCCTAGCCTGGTAATGGAGAAAGCCGGTTGGCGCGCTAATCAATTTCAGCGTCCTGATTAAGCTTTGTGCGCCGGTGGCTTCGAGTTGGAAGGAGACGAATGCCGCAATGGCCGAGGGAAATACGAAAACTTTTCCACTGATGGCTTCACAATAGCTTCACGGTTGCTTGTCCTCCACGATATCTTATATGGAACTTATTATTGAGTATATATACATATCGTTTAGAAAATAATCACCTTTTTGTCATCGTCGACGATTCGCATGGGATTGATCACAGGCAGCGATATAATAGTCTGTACGGCAACACCGTTCGTCTCCAATATGTTGTCGTTGTTGTTGTTATTGTTGTTATTGTTGTTGTTGTTATTGTTGTTGTTGGTAGCGTGAGCTGCTTTCTTGTTAGCCTTGTTTTCCTTGAGGACCCGTCGAATTGGCTGCTGAGTTTTGCGCGTGGGCAGCTGTCGCTTGCTCAGGCTCATCGTATCGAGCCGGTTCTCCTTTGAGCTCTTTTTGCTGTCCAGTTTGCCTGCAGCGCAATGCGTTCGGTGTCAAAGTAGTGATGAGGTGACAGGAAAAAGAGACAATCGTCAAAGGTCAAGATAATCTTACCGTGAGTATCTTCGTCGTGACTCGAGTGAGCGACTTCTTTTCTGGCCAGCGTATCGCGTCTGGCGCGTTTAATCGGCAGCTCCTCGACCGACACCTCTCTGGTGCGCTTACTGAGCGACGGCTTGTCGGGCTTGTTGCTGAGGCACTTTTTGCGCGTGAGGCACACCTTATCGCCCTCTGGCTTCCTTCCCAAAGCCTTCCTGCCGGGCTTCCTGCCTTTGGTTCTCTTCCTCTCTCCGCTGTCCGACTGCTGATGGTGTCGCCTGATCGGTGGCCTACTACAATGCGACACCACCACCTTGGCCCTTTTAAGGCACGGGCTCTCTTTACTGAGGCTTGCCGAGTTGCCATGTTTTTTAGTGGTCACAGGTGCGTCGGGCCTCAGTTTGGGCCTACCAGGTCCACGTGGTTGCGTGGTCGTCGAACTCGCGATCTTGGCTGGCCTACCGGGTTTGCGTTTCGGCGGCTTCTCCACCGGATCAACGTTCACCACCGGGTGAGCTTTAGCCGCTATGGCCGCCTTCACTGCCGCCGAGGGCGAGCAGTTTGTTATCATGGCTGGTCCACAGCTAGATGTGACAACATTGGCAGTTGTCGTCACTGAAATAATGATTGTATAGGTTAACATTTAATAACAAGGCTAGCTCATGTTTGAATTATGTCCTTGAAATTTAAAGCTAATTGACCATCTCCATTTTTAATTCAATATTTACCTTTGCCTAAGTTTTTGTTATTATTGTTCTTGCTATGATTATTGTTGTTATGAACCAGACTGGTGTTGGGGAAGCTCGCCGACACAGCACTGATAGCTTTTTCCGGCGACACAATAACCGGAGTAGCTGCAGCAACGGCCGGGGGCGGACTGACCGGACCGACCAGATGTAGAGGGCTATTATTCACCGATTGTATGCCCGAGTCCGGCGAGACGTTAGACGACGAAGCATACTCTGGATCTATCGGTTTACTGGCACCTTGTAACGGTTGTTGCAATAGCGGATGCAGCTGAGAAGGCTGTTTGCTAGCGCTGCGCTTCTTCGATAGCAAAGCTGTCTTTTCAACAAACTGCTGCAGCAGCGAGGAACTATAGGGTTGACGCACGTTCTCCGAAGAGTCGGAGTCGTCGGCGCCCAGGGTCATCCGCTCAATAGCCTTGGACACGAGGCGGCCACTCTCCGAATCTTCGAAACCATCGAACGCCGTATCCTCGTGCTCAGGTTCCGGTAAAATGGCCGCCAGGTCTTCCTGGTTTATTTCTTGCAGTGGTTGCGTAGTTGGCTGACTACAAGGCAGAACTTGCGGTGGTAGCGAAGGCGCAGAATGCAGCGGAGACTTTGTAGTGCTTTGACTTGGCTGAAAACCATTCGTCTTTAACAATTCGTTGATATTAATTAATAAATATTTTATGCAGGTTTTCAGCGATCATAATATTATAATTGAATAGCAATTTTTACTAGTATCAAATTAAAAATAATCGTGTATTCTTACTGTATTTGAATGTTCATTTTGTTGCCCATTTTGTTGCCGTTCATGTTGTTGTTGTTGTTGTTGTTGTTGTTGTTGTTGTTGTTGTTGTTGTTGTTCTTGTTGCTGCTGTTGTTGTAGTTGCTGCTGCTGTTGCTGCCGGCTTTGCTCCAGGGCCTGTTGTTCTTTTAGTCTCGATAATTTTGCTTGTTGAGCCATTAAATGCTGTTGAACTTTCGAGCATGGTATCTGACTAATTGACGAATCTGAATCGTCACTGCTGCAATCCGTTATCTGAAAAATAAATAATTTTCAAGCTTAGTTATGTTAATAATGCTTCGAGTTTCTGTTGTTACCCTATCTGACACATTCAAGAGTGATTTCTACAATACGTCACATACACCAATGAGAATAAGCTACTTGAAATTTAAGTATTCTACAATGTCTTTAGAGAAGAACTTTCTTATTAAGATTGAACTGATTGAGGAGAAAGTTTTTAGCTACTTTGTATTAGGAGTTTATTTACTTTATTACTGTGACTTTTAGTTCTCCTTGGTAAAAGACGTTTATTTCTCTCGTATCTCAATTTAGCTAAATCTTCCTTTCTGGGTATTTTCATACTTATTTTTAACTTCAATCCACCCTACAAATATTTAGAAACAGTCATGATTGTTCTACAGCACATGATGACTTGCACCTGGTCCTACTGCTTCTTACCTGCTCAAAATTTGTTTCTCGAATTGAAAATGTCTGCTCGCTGTGATCAGAGGAGCAGTCTGAATTTGATTCGCTATCTCCATCGCTGCTGTCATTGTCAGTATCAGAATTTGAATCTGAATAAGACCCACTACCATCACTGCCACCAGAACTTTCATCATCAGAATCAGATTCGTCATCGGAGTGCACAGTAGCTACATCTTTGCCATTAAAACAATATTAGTAAGAGAATACAATGATTCTTTTTCTGCTTTGTTGCTTGTAATTATTGTATAATCAAAGACTATGATAATGTCAATAGGTATTGTACATACCGGTAACTGGATTCCAATTGCCACCATCCTTGATGGCATCCATATCAACTGTGGAAGGAAGCTCTTGTTCTGGCTCGCCATCGGGGCCATCCCAATCCCAATTTTGTAATTCTAATTCTGATGGATGATGGATAACGGCATTCCACCCTGAATCACCAGACATGGTTTGGCTTATCTTACATCCACTAAACTCATAAACAATGTCATGCCTTGTTGTTTACATTGCCACTTTCAAGGCTCTCACATTTTCACCGACGTCATTTTAATACTATAACAACACTTTGAGGCTCATTTAGTTCACCAAACTTCACATAAACTTTTATCAGAACAACACTTGATTTCACTGTCAAAAGCACCTTGTCCACGGATAATGATGACTTTTCATTGGTTCTTAACAATGCAAGGCATATCTGCAAAAATAAAAATTAATAACATTCAACGTGAATGTCTAATAAGTTGTCACAATTTGTGTTTATATAAGTCTGAGAAATGGAAATTTACAAAGGATTTTGGAGTAAAATTAAGAATAATGAAGATTGATGCTAATTTTATATAGTAGGTAGTCAAGTACGGTACACCATTATAAACATTATGTAATCAGATGAGAAAATAATACACAGTCAATTAGAAGATATCAGCCACTGATTATACAGTTTGTTCAAAAATTGGTATAGAGCACTGGGTGAGTACTGAATGTAGATACAGGTTTCAGATAAACAAGAAACCGCGTTCTGAAATGTAAAAAAATGAAATTTAAGTTTGTAGGTGGAAATCGTCTTGACGAAATATATCTAGTAGATAAGAGCAAATTTATTTAGTTGTTCAGACATACATAAATGGTATTGATGAACTGTTATCAATTACGGCATAAGCAAAGCAAATCGACAGCGAAACAGAGAGACACATTTGTAAGAAATTAGTAAGAAACAAGGTAAACGCGATAAGTCTGAGATGAACGATAGGAATTGTCAATTGCGGGTGTATAGTGTATAAAAATGAGCATGAAACTGCGGCTATAACCTAGAAAAGAAGTTATTTTGGTCGCGGGAGAATCGCGATAAACAGGATTAGTGGATTCAAGTACGATATGTGAAAAAAGCTACTGGGTCCACAAAATAAATGCAACCAGTAAGCCGCTCGAGAGCTGAAAAACGAACAGCGTGAATAGGGGGAACAGTCGAGAGAGCAGCGAGAGTAAGAGACGTCAATCAATCAGGAAATCTACACAAGTGCAATCATTCGGTTGACTCCATTGCACTCTGATAATAGGCAATCGGGTGCTCTCTTCTTTGGTGAGTCAATACATGAAATTTCAGCACTAGTTCTGGAGAGCGCGCTGAAAAATGAAAATCTGAAAATCTACACACACATATAAAATGCACTATATAGTAGCGATGCAATATTTCACGCGAATCCAAAAATGCGACACAAAATAACTCCGGGAGAGCACGGTGTAGTATACACCTATAGCACGTATACGTATACACCTATAGCAAATGTATAGGCAAAGCGCAATGAAAAAAAGGCGGATCGCGAGAGCCTGAAAGAGCTCCGACGGGCGAGAGATGGCGAGAGAGCAGAGCAATAACAGTCAGCACTCACGATAGACACAGACGCAGTCAGAGGCACTCGGTGGCAGGCGCGCGGGGAACGACCTATAAGCTACAGGCAGGACAGATTGTAACAACAGACAGACAGTTGGACAGCTGTGCTTAGTCCTGGGGATGACTGGCCAGGTGCGCGAGCCGAGAGACCGTGAGAGAGGGAGAACAGAGCGGCGAAATTGGCGCGAAACCAAAACGCGCCCTCCACGATCTTTTTTTCACACAATTGCCCTTCGTACCGCTAACTAGCCGACACTGTGGACTTTGGCCTGCCGCGAAGAGGGTCGTGGCGGAAGAAGGCCGGCGGGAGGACGAGGAAGAGCTGGGTGTCGGCGACGTCTGTCTCACCTCGCCTGTCGAAACGGATCCTCAGATCGAGTAGTGTTTACGTCTCGATTACGCGCGCGCGCGCTCGTGTCACACCACCACAGCTACAGTCCGACTGGCTGGTGTGTTGATGCGAAGCGGAGCAGAGGCTTTGGCTGAGCGCGACTCTTTCACGTGCCGCTGTCTGTGTGCTTGTCCGTGTGTTTTTTAGCAGGCGGCTGCTCTGGCTCTCGCGCGCGCGCACACAAAATGGCTGCTAGCGCTGCCGCCGCCGCCACCGCCGCCGCACCGTCGCGCACCAACAAGGACACTCGCTCGCGCTACGTACACACTCGGCTTCTTGACTTTGCTCTATCTCGCTCCCCGGTTCTCTCTCTCTCCTTCTCTCTCTCTCTCTCACTCGTAGCCGGCGGCGTAAAGAGCATCTCTGAAGTGATGGGGAGACGGCCGGCACGTATAGACACCTCTGATCCTAACGAGAAGGGACGTCAACGGCAGGGCGCCAAGCTGGAATCTGCACTCGAGAGGGAGACGTTCCAAAGTAAAAAAAGGCGAGAAGGTTATATATTAGGCGGCGATGGCGGCGGCGGCGGTGGCGGCGGCGATGCTTGCGGCGGTGGCGGTGGTGGTGGTGGTGGTGGTGGTGGTGGCAGGGGCGAAATGAGACAGGACTGGAGGGCGGAGAGGAGAGCGGATAAAAGCTCAGCCCGTGGCATACTTGATGTAAAAAAGAAAGCCGAGAATCGCACGGGCAAAAAATAAGCTGTTTGCGCCCCGTCCGCTCTCGGACAAACTCGATTGCAGCTTAGCCAGTTAAGGGAAAAAAATTTTAACGAAGGTCCCATTATCCGCTGAGCTCGCGCCAGTTTGGAATTTAAGCAGGTCTCGTTAATCGCGTAATCACTGGCAAATTAGTTTGGCTTAATTGAAAGGGCGCTCGAGCCACTTGGAGTTGTAGCCTTGCTGGCGAGGCTCGAAAAGAAAGGGAACGCGGCAGTAGAGGCAAATGAGCTGGATCGGGGAACGAGGCGTAAGCGGCTCGTTGCCTGGCAAGCGCGCGGAAAGCCGCCGGCGCGCGGCTGAGGCGGCCAGCGAAGATAAGGCATATTCGAGCAGAGCTATAATCCGGCGAAAGAAGCGGCGCCATAAAAAAAAAGGAGGAGGAATATAATAGGGAGGCTGGATTTCGGCGGGAAGTAGCGGCTCGTAGGGGAGCGTAACAAGGAAGACAAAGGGGGCACAGTTGCCACATGCAGGCGCACGCGTTGGAAAATCGAGCGAAAAAGGTGCCGCGCGCGGGCGGAGGCGCGGGGGCGTCGTCATAAATCGCCGTCGCGGCGGCCGACGGACGGTCGCGCGCACCCGCGCTCCTCGCGCCTCGCGGCCGTCGACGCTTCAATAATTGAGCGAGCGGGGCCGCAGCTCCGCCTGCCCCCCTTCGACGGCTGCTCTCCTCGCCGCGCGCGCGCTCCCATCGATCGCGAGGCTCGCGATCGGCGCGCCAGCGAGCGGCATGCGCCGTGGTGGTCGCGGGCTCCTTGCGGCGCGCGCCTCGCGCCTCGCGGTGCCAATCGCATCGGCCGCGCCGAGAAATCGATGCAGTCGGCGCGCGGAGCGAGCGCTCGTCCGGCCGGCGCGTGCACGCGGCGGGCGCCCGACCTCCCCCGATCGGCCGCGGGTCCGCGCGCTCGCGGGTAGCGCTTGCACGCCGACACGCGGCGCGTCGGGAGCCACCCCGAGCGATAAGCCATCTGCGCACCTCGCGGCCTCTCGTCCCCGCCTCCCTCGTCGATCTCCAATTATCCCGCGCGTACTTTTCGCCACTGGCAGTTCCCGGCGTCGACGGAACGGCAGCGCGTCGGCGAGCGAGCCGCGCACCTAATGAATCGAGCGCGATTAAGAGGCTTAAGAGATTGGCCCGCCCGCCGCGCCCCTCGGCGCCTCCGGGCCCTCGCTCCTCTCGGCGCGCCATTCAATTTGGCCGTTGCCTGCGCGACGAACGAGCGCGCCTTATTGCCATTCAACGGCCCGAGAAAGAGTGCGCACACGTGCCCCGCCAGTGCGACGAGGAGCAGAGGCCGGCCGGGGCAGCGCGAGGCAGATTACATTTGATCAAGCTCGACCAAGTGGAAGTTATATCGGGCTGTTATCGCGCGCGCGCAAGCCCGCAGGCGATGGAAACGAAGCGAAAGAGGGCTGCGCTGGGCGGAGGGGATTGGCGAGGAGCAGCGAAGACGGCGAGCGGAGTGGCGTCGGGCGCGCAGCGCCGAGTGCAGCGGCCGCCACTCCGCGTAGACGCCGAGCCCGCGAGGCCGTGAAATTCGGCTTGGCCCCGCGGGGCCGGCGCGTAGGCGTATCGCGGGGGACCAGCCGAAATAAATGGGATGCGAGACAGAGCGAGAGAGCCGACGAGCCGTGGCCTGGGGGGGGAGGGGGGCGGAGGGACAAATTGGAATTGAAATCCATTGTGTCGGGGCTGGCGCGGCCGCAAGCAGCCGAGCCCGATCCTCCTCGCTTTCTTATTCGGGAAATTTAATTAAGCGCGCCGGGCCGCGCGACCGCGGGAGTCGCGCGCCGAGCCAGCTCGCTCGAGCTTCCTCGCACGCACACGCCAGCGCCGACATATTGATTCGTCCCCGCAAACAAGCTGCACGCCGAGGCGCCCCCGCCGCGATCACCGCCGCTTCCTCCGCGATCCTCCTGCGTCTCATCTGCGCGCGCGGCCCCTTGGCCGATTCTTTCGCTCGCTCGCTCGCTCGTTCTCTCCCTCCGTCGTCGTGTGCATGCAAATCGGGCCATAGTTCATTAGGCTGCGCCGGCGAGGCCGGAGACGGGGGCAAAGTCTCGGGGGGGCTCGGGCTGCGAGCCGCCCGATTAATCGGCGAACTCGCTGTCTCGCGCGCCGCGATTAGTCCCGTGGCCAGAGCTTAAGCTCGTTAAAGCGCGCCGATTGCTCTCGCGCCTCCGCGCTGCCGACGATCGCCGGCAATCAGCCCGCTCCCGCGTCAGGCTCATCCGGCTCCCTTTTCTCGCTCCTTGGGCGGCCTGCAATTAGCGCAAAGTCAAACAATCCGTCGAGCCGCCCTCTCTCGCCCCTAATTAAGACCTTCTCCGCGCTCTCGATTATTGCGAGGAAACAATCGAGTTACACCCGGAGAAGTCGTCGTGCCGAAATGCGGCCGGGAGGTCGGCGGGGAGCTCCTTTCCCCCCGCGGCAGATGCGCGCACGGGCGCGGGCGGGAAGAAAGCGAATTCCGAGGCAGACGGTCCGCTCAGCGAGAAAATGTAAAAGAGCGGGCGGCGCGCGCAGAGGGGCGAGAGGGAGAAAAAAAAAGGTCGATGCCTGCGCTCGTGATTTGATTCGGGAACAATGGCAGAGCGCGAGGGGCCGTGGAAAAGCTTCTTCTGCGCGCTTGTTTCTTATTCGCCGGAGAGAGAGGAGCTCGCCTCGCTCGATCCCCGCGTATACATTTACGATCAATTATAGCCACCCTAAAACAGAACTTGGCCGATAATTCTGCCCCCGGGCCAGCCCCCCGCTACCCCTCCCGCTCGCTCTCTGATTAATAGTTGTCGATTTCGCAACGCGCCATCGCGCGCATCCAACTTTTCCTTGTCTCCGAAGCGCTCGGATAGCAAAGGAGGGGCGACAGCGTCCGCGCGCGCGACGCCGTTCCCTCTTTCGCCGCTGTCCTTGCCTAATTTTTCGCAATTGTCGCGCCCCCCCCCCCCCCCTCCACCCCCCCAGGCCCGCGCCGCTCCCTTCCGCTCGCGCGCTCGCCGTCTATATATGGTCGTAAATAAAGGACTCGGGCTTTTTTCTCGTGCGACGTGAAAAGGGAAAAGGAGAGACGAGAAAAAAAGAGAAGAGGCGCGCTCCCGACCGGACTTTCGGCCGTATCTCCGCTTTAACGACCTGGCCTCGGACACTCGCCGCGGAGGAGCCTCGCTCCGCCGGCATTACACTTGTTATTTCGCTGCGGACTCCGTTTGCCGGGCTCTTTGTTCGCGGCGAGCCGCGCGACGGAGCGTCGATCGGGACGCTCGATCGAGAGCCAGTCGGCCGAGAAGACCGCTGGAGAAATCTGCGAGGAGCCGCGCCATCGCGACCATTGAAAAGTACGGCTCCCTCGGCGACTGGAGAGCCCGAGCGAGATACAGTTATTTGGAGTTCGCAACCCCAATCTCGGAATGAGAATCGCCGCCGCATCAGTATTCCGTTGGCGCGCTTCCGATCGATGTAAACGCTTGTTTTTTCTCAAAGTGCCGCTCCTTCGTCATTGCGCAGACCACCCCGATATTTTCGATTACAGCTGTATCAGAGCCTTTCGGTTGCCGCGCAACTTTGCACTTTCACCGAAAATCCAACAGTGCCTTCGATTTCGCAGCCGTTAGGCGTGAAATCCACTCGACACAGCGGAATTGGCTGGAATCATGCTAATGAAAGGGCATCAAATTGTATTTCGTATCTCGATAAGATCTCAATTAACGAGTCGAGAACGGGGGAGGATTCTGGGGGGGCGGAACGCCTGCGATTTTTCAATTAAGCGCCGCCGTGCCTCGTCTCTTTTTTTCCAATCCGAGCATCCTGGTTGACGCCGAGGGCGTAAAAGCGAGCGAATTCGTTCCTGGATAACGACCGCCGAGTAAAAGCCGGCGCGGAAAACTGACGGCGGGCTTCCGCAGCGAGCCCGAGATCGAATGACTGCTCCGCGGAGATCTGGCTGGCTTTGCAAAGTCGTCGCAGGCCACGCCCTTGCGCATCGGCTCGATTTCTCGAGCGAATTTCAATTGCGCGTGCAAATAATCGTCCGGATTCGCGCGAACCCGCGAGGCCGAACGAGCGCTCGCGTCTCGAAGCGATTGGCTTGGCGCCGTTATTCCTCTTTATTCACGAGCGACGGCATGCGATCGCCGTCGCGATAGCACGCATGGCAGATGTTGCGAACGCGAGCGACGAGATTCGAGGGCGGTCGGTCGGCGAAGGGGCACGCCAGCCGTTAAAGCGCGCCGGCCATAAATATCGCAAATTCACCGGCAGACTCGCCTGTACGCGGCGCGGGAAACACGGGCGCTCGCCGCCACGAGAGTCCGCGAGTCGTCGGCGGAAAAGCGCGCGGCGGGGCCGAGTCGGCGAAGGTCGAGGGCGGCCGCGCCGCGGGCCTCTCCCGCGGCCGGGCCGCGCGCCGAGGGGTGCCGCCTGCTAATGGCGCGTCGCGCTGCGCCGCCGAGGGAGAGCGCGCGCGTGACTCACGCGAGATCGCCGCCGGCGCCGGTGTGCGTGCCGCGCGCGACTTTTTGCATATGCGCGCGCGGCTGACCGGAACGCCCCGCGCGGCCGACCCTCGGC